GTTCTTCCCGTGTTCGCTTAGGTTGTCTCTGGGTGCTCCAGTCCAAAGACATGCAGTACAGGTGAATTGGGTAAGCTAAATTGTCTGTAGTGTATGTGTGTGAATGAGAGTGTATGGGTGTCTCCCAGTGATGGGTAACAGCTAGAAGGGCATCCGCTACATAAAACATAAGCTGGATAAGTTGACAGTTCATTCCGCTGTCGGATTATGGCAACACGAGGAGAACATACCAACTCTACACAGAAATGCCAACTGTCCCAGCCAGGGTTCGAACCAGTGACCTTCTTGCTGTGAGGTGACCATGCTACCCACTGTGCCACTGTCGCCGTGACGACACAGTTTAACATTTGAAAATAAAATTCTAGTTTTACAGCTTTAAATAACATTAGTTACAAAAAAAACTAAATGTACATTATATAGTATATTACTGTTTTTATATAAGTTTTAGTTTTACAGTGAATTTTGCAACAGCATTTTATTTGTATTCTTTAAGTAATACTTCGTAGTAGTAGTAATATTTATAAAATAATAGATTGTATTAGTGCTCAACCAATTATTATTTTTAATTTTTAGTTTGATCATGCCCCCTTTACTTCTGCCTTATAGCAATTGTATGTAAACAATTATAATGTTTATGTGTTTATAATGTGTTTCAATGTTTATAATAGTGTATATGTATCTATTTTACTTTCATTTTATGTCAAGCCTTTCATGGACAGAGTTGAGAATTAGCAAGTCTACTAAACACTAATAAACACAAACAAATGCATCTGGTTGTCCAGTGTAATTGTGATGTCTATGTCAAAAGAAAAAATAATAATAATAATAATAAAATTAATATTAATGCGAACATAAGGGTTTATCAAAAGCATTTAAGACTGTTTAAAAACTTAATAGCTTACAAAAGGTCGATGTTTAATGGTTAACACTAACTGTAAAAATTTTAAACTAATTAAAAAAATATATTGAGAAAATCTTTTTACTTCTGGAACTGCCATATATTTTATAGTTAAATTCTAGTTTTATGGTTAAATTTATAAATAAATTCTGACAAAATTGTTTATCCCTACAAAATACATCAGAAAACTAAAATAATATTCATCAGTAAAAAATAAAATCTTAATAAGCTTTCAAAATCAAGATCCTATTAGTTTAAATAAGACTTACTCCTCAGACCCACCTTGTGAACAGCAGACTCAAGCATGCTGCAAAATACTGGAAACTGTTTAAAATTCCCAGTTTTTCTGGTCAGGTCCTCAATATCTGATTGCAGAACAAAAGTTTGTAATGGCATAAAAGAACATGACATTCAAAGTAAGCCGACAGTAAATGTCAGTTTTAACATGACTTACAAACAGGATCGAACTCTCCTCTCCACTGGTCTGCTGTCACGACATCTGAAATCTCTACGATTAGCAACCTCTCAGCCATCTCAACCTTGACAGCAAATTCAGACCCACGAAATTTCATTTCTTCCTGCACAACCGTGCCCACCTCCATTGCTTGCCACTGACAGCCTAAGGAAAACATTGCACAGGGTTTAATAACATGATCATTGCAGTTCATAATAGAGCTATAATCAGCATTACTTGATAACATACATGCTATATGTAGATAAATCTCATATACTAAGAGCAACTACAGTACCTTATCAAACCATAACAGTCAGTTTAATCAGAGGTTTAATTTAGAAAGTATGGGTTTATTATTTTAGTGCTGTTCATGTCAATAACACATCAAGGTGTCCATTGCAAATGTCAACTTCACTGCCATGACACAGGATTTGGGTCATGGACCATTTGAATGAATAAGGCTCATATTTCTTTACACTTCACTGAATTCCGTGAATTTTACGGATAAAATGGTGTTCTTAGCTCGTTTAGAAACGAATTAGTACACAACACACTCATGTTTCAAACTACTAAACAACTGATTGAGTAAGTGCTAACGTTAACCCTTAAGATTTGCCATAAGACTGGGCTAGTCGAACAGTAACATTATCAAAACAGTCGCAGAAATACACAAATACATCATATGTCATCGTTTTGAAACCAACAGAGAAATATGTGACAACAAAAGACGACATATATGCCCTTGATAACGTTAAGATAGATGCATGTCAGTCCATACACAACTAGCACGCTAGCAACATACCCGTTATTGGTGGAAATGCTTTAGGCAGGCAAGAGCTGTACGATTAAAAACCTACATTTAAAGCAAGGGTTAAATAAAAGTACAAAAAAACAGAAAGATGATAAAAATGTCTTCTATTTCAATTTAGCGAAACATATTCAGTAAACTGGTCGTCACTGCCTCGAACAACTGAAAACAGCGGCTCAATGACCGGGAATTTAAAAATCCCGCCCACAACTGTTCACATTGGTCAACTCGTGTAGATGCTAGGTTCCTATTGGCTGCACTGCTTGCCAATCAAACGAAAAGCCTTTCTTTGTGGCAACGCCTTCGACTTCACGCCCATAAAACTGATTTTCAAGCGGTAGCCTACTCACTACTTTCTTGATCATAGCTTTTACCTTTTTTTCACAAATAATTATAAATAACATAAAGGTTTACATTCCATGTGCTTTTTAATGATACTTATAGTATAACTATATACCCAAGGTACTTTTTTAATTTCTTTCCATTTTGTACGCATATTATTTTGAAGGGATTTTATACTAATGACAAAAAATATAATTACACATAAACTGAATTTTCAAGTAAAATTTGACATTCATAAATGTAAATACACAAACTAATTCTTAAAGCAAGAATTGTATTGATTCCAAAGTAAATCTTTCGTAATTTTATTATAATTTTTTTCAATTTATCTACATTTTTTTCCAATGTAGAACCTATATGATGATATATGCACATATATGAAACCTGTATGCAGTATGCACATAAATGACTATATATATGCTGCATATGTCAATGCCACAAATAGGCAGAATTGAGGTGCATATATGTGCTTATACAAGCCATGTCTCCTGTGTTGCTTCTTTATATCTACATATATGCCCTTTATGTCATGTACATACAAGATATCTCCTATAACTCATATCACACCTTGGCAGCAGTCATACATGATGCGTAGTTCATATTTTCTATTATCAAGACAATAAGAACTAACTAAAAAAAAAATAACATGTGCGAACACTTGAAATTAGTATCACATGTAATTGGCATGTTATTGAATTTAACTATGGCAAATAAGTGAGAGGAGATGGAAAGCTATTATGTCTACAAGTTTTCCTGAAACATTCACGAGGTCAATTCTTTCTTGTATGTAGATATATTGGAAAAGAAGGAAATGCATAACAAAATGGTTTGTAGATTTGTTTGTTTGTTTGTTTTTCTGTTCAGTTTTTTTTTTTTTTGTCTAATTTTTGTTCTTGTACGACTTTTTTTCTTGTACTATTTTATTGTTTTATGTTAAGTAAACAAAAAATGCAAATTTCTACATGGGCTTTTATTTATGTTGTCTAGCAGCTATGGGTTTTAATAAAATGCATATGTATGCGTGTACGCATATGCACGTATATATGAACACATTTGTGAATATATGCACATTATAATATAGGAAAATGGCCAATTTCATATATGTCACAAATAATAAAAACCTATATCAAAACCTATAAAACATATGTTTATCAAGATTGTTTCTGTGTGTAGTGTAAGTTTTTTACACTTTAGCGTCATCCATTTTACAGTATATTTGTTTAGGCCTGTAGCCATGAGGGGTTTGGATGGTTTGAAAGACCCAGCCCTCAACGACAAAGGTCCAGAATCTGTCCCATACATGAACTCGTTTGTCCTTTTTTGACTGCTACACCATTATAATTAGTGAAAATAACCCATTGAAAAAGGCTTTAAGACCAAGCCAAATCATCTGTTGACTGTCACATCAGTGTGACTTCTGTTTATCAGTTTTGGCCAATGCAAACTGTTATTTTTCATCCAGTCCAACATCCAGTTGTGCAAGGAAACATATAATGTAAGTGAAGTAATCTTTCACTACTGTATTGTTTTTAAATAGAAAAAAAATATTTGCATGTAACTTTTATACTGAATCTTGGACCTTATTCTTGAAACAAAAAATAAACAATTTAAAGGTGTGAAAAACCAAAAGCGGCCCATGCTAAAATTAATTTGAATAAATTGGCTATTGTTGTTATCCATGAATTTTCTATGAAATATGCTTTCTTTTTTTTTTTTACAAGAGAGGCTAGACAAATCATGAAGCTCAAATTTTGAAGCTTAAATTCTGACTTAGGAAAATCGAAAGTGCTGGCCAGTTTTTTTTTTTTTTCGCCTAAATAATGACAATCGGCTACAGTTGTTAATTAAAAAACTGTAATTAACAGGACAGTTTTCAAAATTTCTATTTTAAAAAACTGAAAAAAATAAATAAATTCTTATATGGCACATATTATATTTGTAGTTTAAAAATAAGTATTTATTCATATTTCTTTATTCTAAATCTTTTAAAATATTTTGGTACATTAAAAAGTGTGGGTTTGATGACCATCCGACAAGCTAATTCAGCTAAAAATATTGCTTAATATGTCACTAATATTGAGAATTTAAATCTCATAAATAAATAGTAAATGAGGCAAATAACCCCTAAACATCAGGCTGGCTTCAGACCTGTTGTCAGTTGTATTTTATTATTATTAGCTTATGTAGAGTTGCTTCACTATCATCATGTTTTCTTTATAAAAACAATTTGTTGTGACAAATGTAAATAAAAGAAAAGAAATACGCAGTCCACAGGAGGGAACTACACTGCTGTACTGGATCACTACAACACCAACATCAAGATAAAAAAAAAAGATGTATATATAAATTAGTGAAACAATGTGAATTCTAGTATTGAGAAAGGTCAATGCTTTATTTCATCACAGTATTTAAAAACAACAAAACTCCTTTCAAGAGATTGTTTTTAGAAAACAGTATAATACCATATAAATAACACAAAAATTCAGACATTTACATAATACATACATACATAGTATGCCTTTTATTTCAGAATGATGATGCATTTCCAACTCAAACTAAATATTGAGCAGGGGACAGGGTTTTATTTTGAGCTCCGCCTCTCATTTTTCACTCTCACCAGCCGTCAAACTGATGTCATCAGAGAAGAGCTGCCATTCCAGAGCTGAAGGCTAGAATTTGGTTAAAGATTACCAAAACAATCAGTTTATTTCAGTGGATTATCTTACTGAGGCACTGATTAACTGTTCACATTAAGACTTACCATGTGCGCTAGTAAAATAAACATTGTCAATTTTGATTTCACACAGACTTTAAACATTAGCACAACACTGAGGTCTATATAATGCAGTTATACATTTGGAGGTACATTCACTTAGCAGATGCTTCTGTCTTACAGTTGAGGAGACGTTCAGCGATTCAACAATAAGAGGTAATACACACAAGAAGTGCCAATTATACAAATGAACGGTTTGTGCTCAGAGTATTAAGTGCTAGAGATAGGACGGGGGAGTGTTTCGTTTTTTAAAGAGAGAGAGAAGAGTGTTTCTACAGGTGGTTTGTCAAGCCCACTCACCTGTGTGAAGCTCGCTTCATAAATGCGCAGTGTTTTTTTGTGGTCATGCAGACTGAGGCTTGCCTGCTGTGTTTTTATCAATTACATTATTCTGTGCAAAGTTAGGTTGTATAAATTTAGGTGCTGGAAGATAACTATCCTGCACAAGGTTATTGGATGGTTGCACAAATTTAGGAGCTGGAAGGTAAGTGTCCTCCACAAGGATAGAGAATTGCTGCACAGATTTAGGAGCTGGAAGGTGAATATCCTCCACATGGATAGAGGGTGCCTGCCCAAATTTAGGAGCTGGAAGGTAAGTATCCTCCACATGGATAGGGGTTGTTTTCCCAGATGTAGGCGCAAAAATGTAAGTATCTTCCACAGCAATGGGAAGTGGTTGCACAAATTTAGGCGCCGGAAGGTAACTATCCTGCTCAGAGTGACATACTGGTTGTGCAAACTTACTTGCTGGAAGGTAACTATCCTGCATTTCCAAAAGAGGCTTAGACGTCTGCACAACATCGACTGGTCCTGGGGTGGTCAAATTATAAGACGGGTTTTCAATAATCGAGGTAAGCTTCTTAGCACAAGGAAAAGTAGTATTGTAGTACAACGGTTGTGCAGGAAACAGTGGCTTTTTAGAGCAGTGGTGGTCAAGGCCATGTGGGTTTTCTGAGGTGGGATGATCTGAGCCGTGAACCTCTTGAATCTCACACTTCACGTATCCCTCGGTCATCTGGGTACAATATATGCCCTGCAAACAACAGAAATTGGTTGGCTGTCAAGTCTGAAATGAAAACTATATCTAATAATATTGTATAATATTGTAGTTTTGTCGTCTGTCAGATGCAATATTTTTTTGTCAGTGTAGATGGATTTTGATTGGCTGTCATTGTTTTTATCGTTTACCTGTTTGAAAAAAAAAGTAATTCCAATGATATGATTTCTCATTATGATTATAGTTAAGGGCTGTAGTTTTATATTTATGAGGATATATTTTATGCTATGACTATATCTTTCATGCTTCTCTTAGGTTTATTCTAAAAAAAACACAAAACTAAAATAATTTTTGTTAATTTAAAAAATAAACACAATACATACAACCTGAAAAATCACATGTACATCAGTGTTCAAAGCCTTCGCCGTGAAGCTTTAAATTGACCTCAGGTACATTCTGTTTCCACTGATCACTGATCCACTGAAAATAGCTGTACAACGTTGCTTCTCATCCAACCTGATAGAACTCAAGAGGTACTGCAAAGAGGACTGGGCAAAAATTCCCAAAGACAGGTGTGCCAAGCTTGTGGCATCATATTCAAAAAGACTTGAGCCTGTAATTGCTGCCAAAGGTGCATCAACAAAGTCTTGAGCAAAGGCTGTGAAAACTTATGTACATGTGATTTTTCAAGTTGTTTATTTTTAATAAATTTGCAACAATTTAAAAAAATATATTTTTTCACATTGTCATTATGGGCTATTGTGTGTAGAATGTTGAAAAAATAAATTAATCCATTTTGGAATAAGGCTGTAAAAAAATAATGTGGGAAAAGTGAAGTGCTATGAATACTTTCCAGATGCACTGTATAATATAAGTAGTATAAACACTTTACCTGACTTTATCTTAGTCAGTTTCCAAAGAAATATTTTAAATTTTCATTCAGTTCAACCTAAAACAAAAATAACTATATCTAATTTAATTAAAACAAAAAAAAAAAAAAAAGAAAATCAGAAATAACACAAATTTTAACATTATATTATTTTATTAAGATAAAATTGCTACTAAATTATTCAAATCAGTTAGAAATGTATTTATTAATATCTATACAGATTAAGTACTAATGCTAACACTCTTGTCTGAGACATGATATGCAAACACCTGCAACCCATTTTTGGCTTGTGACCCACATAACACAGCATGTAGATCAAAATAATAATTACACATACACACACAAAAGAACAAAATTATAAATCAAACTCAGCACTCACCTGTGTAGTCCATTTCCCTGCTAGTTTTGGTTCAGGAATATCTGGATACAAAAGGTCCTTTAACCTGAAGAGTGACATTTAAGTAGAAGCACATCATTAGAAAAGCTACAGATAATATTGTGTTACTGAAAACCACAAGGCTGGAGAATCTGACATACCATTCCCTCTTCCTGTAGCACAGCACTGTGATGATGATGAAGACAAGAGTTGCTGCACTGCAACCAACAAGAGTGGCTGCAAGCATCTGGTCAACTGTGAAGAATTTCCCTCAGTGTTATCACATTTGCATGATACATTTTCAATACTAGTTTTATTTGCTTTTAATAATCAGTGCTTTCAATTATATATAATTCGATCTCACATACTTGTTGTTTCTACATTCATTGTCAGTATAGCATCTTCGCTTTCCCCTACTGATGTAAAAGCACGAACTGTGAAGATGTAGGATCCTGGATCTAATGGCAGAATAACTTCACACGCTATAATAGAAGCAGACATTATGTTCAGTTGTAATGCATAATGTATTCTTGGACAAAAACAGGGGATGTTGAACCCACCCTTTGTCTCTATTGTTTTGATGACCTTTTTGGATTCAGAATGGGTTATTTTGACCTTGTAGCCAAGTATGATGCCTTTTTGCTGGTCTAAGGCCACTTCCTTCCAGGAAAGCTCAACATTTCTGCCATTTTGTTGACCGTGTAGATTCTGTACTGTACCCTGTGGTTCTGATAACACACATATCACAATGGAAGAATAACACAAATGAGGTAAACAACAAAAAACATGCAAGCAAAACAGTAAAAGATCAATATTAAAGTTAATATTGCCCTCAAGGAAATACTACAGTAATTTATAATATATAAGACATTTAGTATTTTGTCAGACAGTTGCATATGTTTTTTATAATTATTTTTTAGGGGTTTTCACTTTTAATGGATAGGACCCCTGCTGAAAAATCCAGCTTTAACCAGCCTAGTTTTAGCTGGTTGACCAGCCTGGTTTTAGAGGGGTTTTGGCCACTTTCAGGCTGGTTTCCAGCCATTTCCAGCCTGGTCTGAGCTGGTCAGGCTGGAAAGTGAAACCATCTAAAACCAGCTTGACCATCCTGGTTTAGGCTGGACATAGTTGGTTTTGGCTGGGTTCCCAGCCTGGCTAGGCTGGTCAAGCTGGTTTTAGCTGGTCATCTCCCAGCCTGTAAAGCTAAAGTCAGGCTGGAAATGGCTGGAAACCAGCTTGGAAGTGGCCAAAACCCCTCTAAAACCAGGCTGGTTGACCAGCTAAAACCAGCCAACCATGCTAGACTGGTTTAAGCTGGATTTTTCAGCAGGGACAGTAGAGTATTGAGGGAGCAGAGAGAGGGGAAGGATCAGCATAGGACCTCGAGGCGGAAATCAAACTTGGGTCACCTTGAGCAGCAGATTGCATGTGTCAACACACTAACACTACGCCATTGGTGCCGACAGCTGCATATATGTTTGAGTGAGATAAGATGGATATTGATGTGTTGATTTTAGGCAGGGGTGCTCATTCCCTGTTCCTGGAGATCTACCTTCCTGCAGAGTTAACTCCAACCCTGATCAAACACACCTGAACCCATTAATTAAACCACTTGATAATTACAGGCAGGTGTTTTTGTTATGGGTTGCAACTAAAATCTGCAGGAGGGTAGATCTCAGGGAACAGAGTTGGTCAACCCTTATCTAAGGTATAGCGTACTTTTTATCACTAATCTTCTTTTAGCTTAGTATCTTTATTTATCAGGGGGTCGCCACAGTGTAATGAACCACCAACTATTCCAGCAAATGTTTTACACAGCAGATGCCCTACCAGCCACAACCCAGCACTGGGAAACACCCATACACTTTCATTTGAACTTATACACTATGGCCAATTAAGCTTATTCAATTCACCTGTACCAAATGTCTTGGAAGACACTAGAAGAACAAGAAAACTCCACACAGAATTGACAACTGCCGAGGCTCGAACCAGCAACCTTCTTGTTGTGATGCATCAGTGCTAACCACTGTGCCAACCTGTTTACACTTTAATGGTTTGTTAATTTGTAGGAATGTTGTAAGTTTATATGTATTTTAATGTTTGTATATATCATGCATTGAATAATCATGTTTGGGTGACTTTTCTAACATCAGTCCAAGGACTGCAGATTAAAAATAGCTTTTTGGCGAATTCTGACTTATTAATCTACTTTGTCTCTGTCAAATGAAACTGAAATTAAATAAATAAATAATAAATACTAATTTTCGAATCATAGTATAGTAAAGTGTTTGTACTATATGTTTTAGTATTATGACTTTTTGTTAATTAATGCTACAGCATATTGTAGTATTAACTGTCATGAACTGATAAAGTTTAATACAACAGTTTACTTTAGTTTTTAGTTTTTACTTCCCTTTTTACAGAAAACGGGACAGTATTGGCCGATTTGCTTACATTACTATAGCCGTATGACCACAGCAACTATAAACCTACCACAACAGATTTATTTGAGTGCTTTAGGTTCAAAAACACTATAGATTTACTATGAATGGGCTATATGCACACAGACTTTTAATTTTCTGCCAGGTAGCTAAAGGGCTTCCGGTGAAGTTTGCATTACAAAATTGTCACATTTAAGATCTGATTTCTTTAAAAATCAGCAATCTTCACAGCCTGTTAAATATAATATATGAAGTGGGTCTTAGATCGGAAAAGAAGCACTGCATTAAACTCCATTTTCCCCACACCATGTCTTTAAAATATGAGTTTATTTTACTTGTGAAATTAAAATTAGCCACATTGATCTTTCACCGGAAATTTATCGTTGGCTTTAAAATTCTAGTTGTGCATAGAGACCTTTTCTTTTTTCATGTGCTGCTAGTTACGTGAATTTATGACAAAAAAAACCTGTCAAACACATCAAAGACATGTTATTAACAAGTTTATTCATGGTAGCTATATGCTAACCATGCATATTCGATATGCTGAATTTAAAAAGTAACACTAATTACAGTACTGGGCAGTCTTGTTGTTGCTAACAAAATCATATGGTTAGTTTTGATTTCAAGATGACTTTAAAACAAGTTAGCATGTGCTAAAATATACTAATCTATGTTAACATGATGTTAAACCATGATACTATATCAGAAAATTATACATAAACATAACCTTCTTATTCTTGCTAACAGCGAAAAAACATGATAGCAACATTTTATGATGTGAGAAATGCTAATGCTAACTGTATGGATTTACAAAACTGTTTCAAAAATTCAGTCAAGTATTTCTCAAGCTAATGTAAAAGTAAATTTAACCCCATGACCTTTACTAACTATAGTACTTAAAAAGATTTAGATTTGACTCCTTACCTTGCTCTATAGCGTATCCCTCACTCCTCTGCAGAAGCACTGGTGCTCCATTAGTGCAGGCAAAGACTGAGATAGTATATCTCTCTCCGGCCTTAAATTCAACTGTGAGAGATGGAGAGATTGAAAAATATTTTATGAAAGTAAACATTTTGTTTTTAGCTATACTCATACACAGGTTTCACCTCATATTCAACAAGCAACCATTAAACATGCACACAAATTCGATCTCAATATAACAGCAGATCATAGTGAGTACAATGTTTTATTTTTATGCTCCCAACTGACCAGGAGGAATCCAAGTTTGGCACACATCCTCATCACATTCTGGGATTTTCTTCCAATCTACAGCACATTGTGTCTTATTGTAGGTTGGAAACCATTCAACAACATAGCCACAAGTTGATTTGGGATACATTTTCCAAAACACCTCAAATCCACCATTAGTGCTGTTGATAAGGCTTATACTGACTCCTTTGCCTGTGGAAAGTGTCACAAAAATATTATTAATCTTAAACACCTTTTCAACTCATTCCAACAGCCTTTGGAATTTACTAACAATACTCACCAGGATCATGTGGGACGATTAAGACAGAAGGAGGAGAAAGACCGGCAGAGTTTTTTGCTGACAATTTGATTATTTGATTATTTTTTTCATTTTCAGAGGCGATACTGTAGCACAGCTCATTTGCTCCTATATTGACTGGACTTTTGATGGTATTCATGGTTAGTTTATAACCTGTTATTATCCCATGGCTTTGTTGATGAGACAGAGGCTATAAAACATTAAAAAGGGATTTATTTACTTGTTTGATTGGAGACACAAAAAGCTGAAGATACAAAATTGCACGTACCTTCCATTGAATATATGTGTGGTTTTCAGAATATTGAATCCAAACATCTACCAGTTCTGGAACTGAAGAGAAATTATTAGTGTGTGACCAAATAAATGATGCATCTATGTGTTCCAGTATTTAAATTTGAAGGTGGGGTTATTGAATTACGCACTCATCCGATTAGTTCAAAAACATGAATTCATTCAGAAAGTGAACTGCACTGAAATATTAAGATCAGTCATAAGTACACATTAGTGGCCAAAAGTGATGTCCTGTCTAAGATAACTGATGTATGCTTTTTATACAAAACTGTAGATTTTTTAAACTACCATATTTCTGTATTTGAAAGATATAAAACATTGTACGTGCTCTATGATGCAACATAGGCTCGTTCTGAAAAGGTAGCCCTATTTACATTTCTGGAGATTGCAAATTATGTAGCCAGAAGTACGCTGCGGGGCAGTATGATGCTGTTTCTTTACGCGCTTACCAGCTGACCATAGCTTGCCATGTACGTTGGCGGACTTGAGACAAAGAGAGGAGTTGATCACGCTGATGTAGGTAAAAAAAAAAATCTAAAATAAACAAGTAAATAACAGGGTGAGAAATTTGAGATTTCAAAAAGCATACACAGCGGGCTCTGGGGGATTCCTGAAAACAAAAACTGCAAAAAAGGAAATGTGTTGGGCAAGCTACTTAAAAAACTATAGTGAAATAAGCTATTAGCTACTTTAATTAACATGTAGCTTAACTACAATTAAAGCTACCCTCTGAGAAATGTAGCAAGCTAAGCTAAAAGCTACTTGGCAAAAGTAGCTCAGCTACACCAAAGCTACAGCTCCATAAATGTCGGTGCTGTCACTTATTGATCCGCAATCGCTTAATGTAGCTTGTGTGGACGCTTCTGCACTACTTGACGAAAAAAAAAATAGCTGCGCAACTGAGAAGCTATTTGATGTATAAAATAGCAATGCTACCACCACGCTACTGAGAAATTTATCTAAGCTAGTAGTGTCATTACTTGTAGTGACACTACTGCACAACACTGAAAAAAAAAAAACGTAGCTCCTGGGACATATTTGGCGCTCTCCAGAAATGTATATAGGGGTACGTTTCCAGTATGAGCCTGGGTTGCGCATGTTTCAGTAGTTGCAAGTTGTTTTTCTAAATTTTAAATAAAACTCTTACTAATAAATCTCTTTTACTTTTCTGACCCAAAGATAAAAATCTTGTCATCATTTACTGATCATCCAATTATTATTTTGAACACAGACAAAAAGATATTTCCAAGAATGTTGGCCATTGACTTCCATGTATTTTTTTTCATATTACGTCAACAAACAAACCTTTTCAACAATCTTTTCTTTTTTTTTTGCATCGAACTAAATTTTTTCCATGTGTATTGTTTACCTCTTCGCCAATACTGTATATACTATATAGTAACCTGCTCCATTTGCTTACTCTATTTGACATCCCTTTTAGTCACTACTGTATATTAATGATACTCTATTTTATAGTATTTCAGTTCTCTGTATACTTACTGTCCTCTTTAGTGGTAAAAGTAATTTCACTCCAGTCACCCCATTGGAAGAAATGCTCATGAGACCCACAACTCACTTTAGCTGTGTATTTAGTAAAGGGCTGCAGATGCTCAAGCACAACTGACGCAAGTCCTTTTCCACTAAAGGTTTTCTTTGAAAAACATGAAAAGGTGAGGAGATTTGTTAAAGACTAGCAAGCCAAACAACTACAACAGAATGGTTATTGAAGCCAATTCAAGATAATAACCGGTGACACCAACATTGTAAATGTTTCCATTGAGCATCACTTGGCAAATCATTAGAAGTGAAGCATATTCTGTTACACTCCAACTCCAGTGAACAGTGGCATTTCTTGCATGAGCAGCATGGGATATATTATGAGGTGCTTTCAACCATACTGTGTAAGAAGAAACAGACAATCAGAAATCAGTTATATGCTATGGTTGTGCAATACTCGTAAAGACTTGTCAATGTAAAAATGGATATGCTGTTTTACCTCGGTGTGTGGGATCACCTGTATCAGTGACAATCTTCACACCAAGTGCATTTCTGGCAATCAGAGTCCAGTTTGTAATCTGCTTTTTCAGCTCAAGTGGGTCACATCGATTGAATTCACATTTTCTGACAAACACAAAACAAGCAGAATCATGAATTGTACAATAAGATTTCCAAGTGGAACTCACACCATTAAGATTAAATAATTAAATAATTAAATAATTCCTTATATTTTTAAAAACAAAGTTGACCAAAGTGCTGTGCATAGGAGTACTAAAGCAGATAGGATAATACGTAAATAAAATGTAAAAACAAAACAAGACTAGTAAATTAATCAGCAAAAGGAATAAAAGGACCAGTAATCATAATACTGATGAATGAGATGAATGATATGTATTGTCAGTCCTGTGGTTACCTTCCATTAAGTGTGTAGTTTGTAGCTCTTGTACCATACAGCTGGGTTTTTCTGCCAAGTTTCCACTGACACTCCACAGAGCTGAGGTCTCGTGTGATACATGTAAGATTCTGGTCATCTGGAGGATCTGTAACAGCAGGACAAATGAAACTGTTAAGGCCAGGACTCAAGCCACAGTAGAGATACAGTTAGGTCCATAAATATTTGGACATTGACACAAATCTAACATTTTTGGCTCTATTCAGCAACACAATGGATTTAAAATGAAACAAATGATGTGCTTTAACTGCAGACTGTCAGCTTTAATTTGGGGGTATGCAAATCAGGTGAATGCTGTAGGAATTACAACAGTTTGCATATGTGCCTCCCACATTTTAAGGGTCTAAAAGTAATTAGACAATTGGCTTCTCAGCTGTTCCATGGCCAGGTGTGTGTTATTCCCTCAGTATCCCAATTACAATGAGCAGATAAAAGTCCCTGAGTTCATTTCAAGTGTGCCATTTGCATTTGGAATCTGTTACTGTCAACTCTCAAAATGAGATTCAAAGAGCAGTCACTATCAGTCAGCCATCATTAGGCTGAAAAACAAAACAAACCCATCGGAGAGACAGCAAAAAATTAGGCATGGCAAAACAGCTGTTTAGAACATTCTTAAAAGAAAGAACGCCCCAGTGAGCTCAACAACACCAAAAGACCTGGAGGACCACACAAACAACTGTGGTGGATGACTGAAGAATTCTTTCCCTGGTTAAGAAAACACTCTTCTCAGGAACACTCTTCGAGAGGCCGGTGTATGTGTGTCAAAGTCAAAAATCAAGAGAAGACCAAAACAGGGTGAATACAGAGGGTTCACCACAAGATGTAAACCATTGGTGAGCTTTAAAAATGGGATAAACACCTTTACAGTTCTGGAACAACACCCTATGAACAGATGTGATCAAGATCAACTTGTACCAGAGTGATGGAAAGAGAAGAATATGGAAAAGGAAAGAAACTGCTCATGATCCTGAGCAGTGAAGCATGGTAGTATGGTAGTGTCATGGTGTGGGCAAGTATGGCTGCCAATGGAACTTGTTCTCTTGTATTTGTTGAAGATGTGTCTGCTGACAAAAGCAGCAGGATGAATTCTGAAGTGTCTCAGGCAATATTTTCTGCTCATGTTCAGCTAAATGCTTCAGAACTCTGAGGACGGTGCTTCACAGTGCAATTGGACAATTACCCAAAGCATACTGCAATAGCCACCAAAGAGTTTTTGAAGGGAAAGAAGTGGAATGTTATGCAATGGCCAAGTCAATCACCTGACCTGAATCTGATTGAGCATGCATTTCACTTGCTGAAGACAAAACTGAAGGGAATAGCAGGAACTAAAAACAGTTGCTGTAGAGGCCTGGCAGAGCACCACCAGGGATGAACCCAGTGTTTCATATTTGGGCAATATATCTAATAATGTACTGATTAATAAAACAAGCAACAGCTGATGGACAGCATTTCAATTCAACAATTCACTTAGAATAAGATGTGTTTACACTTACAGCCAAAAAATACTGATGCGCCAGAAGAAGATTTTTCATTTTTTACTTCACAGTCGACGTCTGAAAAATATTCAGAAGTTCTGGAAAAGGGATCCTTGTGGGTCTCTGTGATGTAGGTCCTGTTGCTGATGCGGATGACAAATTTAGAGAGATTGTTCAGTGAAGCCTTTTCTGTTTTCAAGATGCAACAAAATGTGATGTTACTCCCAATCAAGAAAACTTGATTTCGAGGATAGACTTGTGAAGTCAAAGAATTTTGGTCTTGACCTGTTAATAAATAAGCGAAACTCATGTTAGGTTCAGTGTGTTATTCTCTTTTGCATAACATATGCATACGACTTTTGGCTGCAAACCTGTGTATGTCAAATATGATGTCCATTCACTAATGCGAAGCTGATCTCGGCGCCTAAGTCTGACCGAATGAGAAGTGCACTGCAATGGTATAGGTGAGGTCCATTTCCAATGATAATGGCTGCTTTTGTCTGCCTTCACATGTATATTTTCCTAAAACAGATATACAATGAAAAACACCCCTGAAATTTTTTTTTTCTTAAACAAAAATCTTAAAATACCAACTTACAAAGTGAACGGTCCTCATCTGTTCAGTGTGAATGATCTCTATGTCATAGCTGACTTTTTCAAATTCATTATTTTCATCTGTCCATTCAACATTCAACACCCATGCTCCATCCTTAGATGTTTCCGTTTTCTCTTCAGATACTTTTACGTCCCTTATAGAAAGTGGAAGCCCTGTTGATAAAAAAGAAATGTATTTAAATGTGTTTGTTAAAACACCTAACCCTTGTGTATTGTTCAAATTTACAACCCTTTTGTTATAATGGCTGTTTTTGCACCATTGACTTCAATATAATAACATTTTTTGATTGCAAAATCAGGACACCATAACTGATAATCATGCTTTCTTGTTGTTGGTGGTTTTCCCTGTTGGGATGAGGTCAAATTTACTATCGATCATCAGTTGGTACCATTAACCCTTTAGATATGCCTGTGCAATAGTGTGCAATAATGGAAGTTAATGAGGGCAAAAACAGCCACCAACATAATGAAAGGGTAGTGAATTTCCCATAGTGTATTGTTTGAAAACAATTTCCCAAAATATGTGTAAACATAAGGTTTGTCACCAAAAATCACTCCATTTGCTGAAACACAGAGAAAACTGTGGCCAAGTTAAGACTCAAAATGAAAACATCCCCAAGAGCATACAAGGGTTAACTACACAATTAGGATGCTACTGTATTATTAAATGTATAATTAACAACTAACTTCTTTAAAAGCTTACAATATCCTATAATAATAAGATTCAATTAACTCATAACAATTGTGGTGCTTACACCTTTTCCAAAGTCAAATTTAGGCACTTTTCAAGCACTTTCTAAATGTATTTTTAGACTATTCCAGCATACATGCATATACATACTTCATCACATTATATCAGATGCTAATTGTATAGTATCTGATATATCTCTATGGAACATTTATAAATGTAAAGTACTCACATCCTAAATGTGTCCTTCATGCATCTTTCATGTTAAATTGATATTTATTTTGAATGGCATAGATAAAAAAGGAAGATCATGCTACAAATATATGCACAGACGCTGTGTTTATTTTTATTTATTTTTTTTTTCAAAAGAAAAAAATATATTTTATGTAATTATTGTTAACTATTGAATTATAAAATTAGCAGCATTTAGCTGCAATAATTATAAAAGCAACCCAATTACACTTTAAAGCGGTTTCAAACACTTTATCCAAGCACTTTTCAAACCTTGAAAATACTAAACTACATTTGTTTGAATGTAATTAATTTTCAAGGATTTCCAGCACCCGTACAAACCTCGAATAATTATATCAGTTTCCATCTATCTGTTGAACACAAAAAAAGACATTTTGAAATCTTAAAAATTGTTAAAATAAACCTCTTTAGTGTTTGACAGAAAAAAAAAACAGATCTGAAACAAACGTAAGGTGAGTAAATGACAGAAACAACATTCGTGGTGATGATTTTTGATTAAATGCATCTAAGACTCACCATCCTGTTCTGCCAGCTCAATCAGAGACACAAGCAAAGCACTCAATAGCCAGACCGACATGACAGAGTTCAGAAGCTTCTGCACCAGTAATGGCTCACCCGTGTCTCCATTAGCAATTAAGCCTGTCAAAGAAAACAAATCATTTTAACAAACTTCTAATGATGTATCAATGGAAATAAGTGATCTTTTCTCGCTAAAGGGTTTTAATTTACAAGAAACAAAGATAACAGTGTGGAAGGAGAGAGAGATGTAATGGAGTCATCAGGACAGGAATGATGTACCACAAACTTAAATCTTCATTCTCATGAGTATGTGCATTTCCCAGCACGCTTCTTTCGAATCAAAACTAGATTGTTCTGTTGATTTATTTGGCCCATAAGACTAAAAAATGGATCATAATAGCGCAAATCATGCAATTAATAAAACTCAAAAAAAAAAAAAAAACTCTATTTGTTTTTAAAGTTGCTTGTTGACATTTGCTTGTTTAAACTACTTATTTAAAATGAGCTGAATCAACCCATTTATTCATCCATTCATTTATTTTATTTTTGGCTTAGTTCCTTTACTAATCTGGGGTCACCACAGCGGAATGAACCGCCAACTTATCCAGCATATGTTTTACGCAGCGGATGCCCTTTCAGTTGCAACCCATCTCTGGGAAACATCCATTCACACACATACACTACGGACAATTTAGCCTACCCAATTCACCTGTACCACGTCTTTGGACTGTGGGGGAAACCGGAGCACCCAGAGGAAACCCACGAGAATACTGGGAGAACATGCAAACTCCACACAGAAACGCCAACTAACCCAGCTGAGGCTCGAACCAGCGACTTTTTTGCTGTAAGGCGATAGCACTACCTACTGCGCCACCGCATCACCCTGAATCAACACAATTCTAGAGTTTTTTGGGGGGTGGGGGTGGGGCTTTATTGTTTTATGTTCAATCCACTTAAATTTGTAAAAACAATGAAAGAATTAACATGAACAAAAATGCTGGGTTCCACACAATCAGTTTTGAGACGTATCATTGTGTTTGGAAGTTGTTGGAAGGTGGCTGCCATTTTATTCATAAAAGCTTTTTCTCTTGTTTTTGTTCAGTTAGGGAGTTAGTGTACATTTGTTAAGATCACCAGTGATCTAACCTTCATAGATCGCTGGAGAACTACACATTTACACACACACACCTGCTCCAAGTCTCCATTGTTTACACTCCCACAGCTGACACTGCTCATGGACTGATTACAATTCACACATATACGGCTCACTTTGACACACTCATGGCTGAGTCTTGTTTATGTTTGTGAATTTTATCGCACGTTTCCTTTGACTTGTTTGATTCCCACTTTGTTTTGTTTGTTTATGTTGTCTGCTGCCTGCCTTCTGACCACCCGCCTGTAATTTGACTAACTCTGGATTCTCTGTATGTACCTGATTGCCCCTGTGTTGACCATTGCTTGCCTGATCATTCCTGTTAATAAAACTTGCGTTTGGATCAGCACCTCTATTGTTAGCTTCCACACTTCACAATACAACATTTCTGTTGTTAATTTAATTTTACTTTGTTGGTTTAAACAGTTTTACCCCCTAACTAGAGTGTACTTTTGTTTGCTGTTGTCCTTTTCCCCTCCTGAAGCCAATAATTGTTTTATCATTGTACATTTTTGCTAATAAATTAATTAATTTTCTTTTCAGCTTAGTCCCTTTATTAACCTGCGTTCACCAAATCACTAATGTAGCATATGTTTTACATAGTGGATGCCCTTCCAGCTGCAACCCATCACTGGGAAACACCCATACACTCTTATTCACACATAAACTATGGACAAATTAGCTTACCCAATTCACCTATAGTGCATGTTTTTGGACTGTGGGGGAAACCCACGTGAATGCGGGGAGAACATGCAAATTCCACACAGAAATGCCAACTGACCCAGCGGGAACTCCAACCAGTGACCTTCTTGCAGTGAGACGATTGCGCTACCTACTGCACCACCATGATGCTCTTGTACTAATTGTACTAATTGTACTTGTAAACTAATTGTTTAACAGAAATTTAAGTGTGTTGTCATGAAGGCAGGGGTTAAAACAAACTCCCCCCAACCAAACCTTAAACTTCTCACTGTTGCACTCATACACATCCTATCAGAGATGTAACAATTGGGACAACATGAAGAAATTAGGAGAACTTATTGTGAATTGTGTTGTTTCAGCTCATTTTAAATAAGTAGTTTGAACAAACAGCAAACATCCCTTTTTCAGAGGAGATAAAGCTATCATCAGTTAGGATTAGAGACAATGAAATGAGTAAACAGAAACTTAACCAAATAGGCTTCTTTCTACACACATTTACCACTTTTTTTTAGGTTCAAAAGCTCAACCAGAAAAATTACAATTTACTCACTGTTTGCTCACTCTTAAGTTGTAGCAAACTTGCTTGAGCTTTTCTTTTTGTTGAAAAAAAAAATATATATATATATATATATTTTGAAGAATGCTAGAAACCAGTAACCATTGACATCCATAGTAAGAAAAAACGAATACACTGGAAGTCAATGTTTATCGGTTTTCTGTTTTCTTCAGATTATCTTCTTGAGTGTTTAACAGAGACTCATAAATTCTTGGAACCACTTGAGGATAAGTTAACAGTCTTCATAGTTTAATTTTCGTGAAAACTATCCTTTAAATTGGTACTAAGGAGCCCAACATTTGCAAAGAATATATCCCTTACACATTGCACAAATATCTTCTTATGTGTTCAACAGACAAAAGAAACACAAACATGTTTGGAACAAGTCAAGGGTAAGTAAACATGACAGAATTTTCAGTTCTGGGTGAACTATCATTTGAACACAAATATCTGTAACATGTGGTTGAGAGGATCTGCTGATGTTCAAATCAAGCATCAGATTGGTGATTTAGTATTTCAGAAACTGCTGATCAGCTACAATTTTCATGCACAACCATCAGGGTTTACAGAGAACGTCACAAAAAGTTAAATGATCCAATGCATGCTCTTGGATGAGAATGCCAATACCAGAGGTAAGAGCAGAACTGCTGAATTGGTTCAAGCTGATAAAAAAACAGCAGTAGCTCATATAACCACTTGTTACAATCAAGGTCTGCAGAATAACATCTCTAAACAAACGACACATCAAACATTGATGCAGATGAGTTACAACTGCAGAGGAAAAGCACAGCGAGCAGCTGAAAGCCAAATCAGACATGCTTGCCCAGTTTGATGAGCCTCAGTTTCTGCTGTAAGATTCATGCATTGATCTGTCCTGCCTTGTATCAAATGTTATTGCCGGTGGTGTAGTGTGTAAGGGGATATATTCTTTGCAGATTTTGGGCAGCTTAGTACCAATTTAAAGGATAGTTTTCACAAAAATTAAACTATAGTGACTATTAACTCACCCTCAAGTGGTTCCAAGAATTTATGAATTTCTGTTGAACACAAAAGTATATTCTGAAAAAAGCTGAAAACCTGTAAGCACTGACTTCCATAGTAGGAAAAGCAAATCCTATAAAAGTCAATGGTTTTCAGCTTTCTTCAAACTATCTTCTTTTATGTTCAACAGAAAAAAAAGAACAGAGAAACTCAAACAGGTTTGGTACACGCAAACTGAAAATAAATAAGAAGAATTTTTATTTTTGGGCGACTGCATGATGTCAAACTGAACAACAACTTCTGAAGAATATTTCCAGATGAACCTTATTGCATCTATAGCATGAAGAATTGAGGCAGTTCTGGAAATACAGCGGTCAACCCCCATTCTAGAAAGATGTGCCTAATAAAGTAACCGTTATTCCATTAAATATAAGTTTCATAGTTTTTTTTAAGTTTCAGAAATAAACTTTCATTTTTACGCTTAAAACAAAAATATGTAATAAGAACTCATTGAAAGTAAAATAATTCATAGATTATTTTTATTGCTGCTTTGGAGGATATCAATTACCATATTTGTTTTATAAAAAAATGCACCTACGTGGTTTTAACAGTTCGCGAGTTGATCTTGCGGTTTAAGAGAAATATTACTCACTTGAGACATGCATAGCCATTAGTCAGTCACACTTATTCAAACAGGAAATAATGAAATATGGTTCAGATTAGATAAAACTATTTAAATAAATAAATAAATATGGTTCTGATAACTGTTAATAAAAAGATACATCATTAAATAAGAAAACTTATGAGCTCACTGAAAAGCATGTAGCCCATACGTCCCCATACTAAACACATTCAAGTAGTGAATTTCACACGTTAAGAAAAACTTTATAAAGGTTTTGTATGTTAAGAACATTAAACTACAGAAAGCCTTTCGTAAGCGGCTAAATGAGAAAAAGCACCCACCTGTTTGAAATGTTGACAGCCTTGTTGTATGTCGATGAATCCACTGTGGTTGACCTTCAATTATTTTCGCTCTCAGGTAAAAATATTAAATTTTCACAAGCTAACTTTAGCGAGCAACAGGCAAACTCTCCAGCAGCAGATGTGTGAGAGTGTGTGCGGTGGGAGGAACTTAATGGAAACGTGTGGGAAGTTACGAGCGTCACTGGGAATCAAGAACAACAAGTTTATTATCCTATTATTAACAGCAGCGTCTCGTCGGATGTTTTACGCGGTAAAATCACAGTACAGTATTTTAAATGTATTTTTATTTTAACATTTATTTACCCTTAGGTGTTTTCATTACTTCCTCTGTAAAAACTAATGTACAGCACATATCTTGAGAAATCTTTTGACAAAAATAACAAGTAGGTCGATGGCAATTGGATATATCGTTTCAATCAAGCACAACGTATTAGGTAGCCTACTTACTTATCAGTACATATTAAAAATTACTAAAACTTATTCGAGCTTATTCTTTAGGCACCTTTTAAAAATATACTATTTTTTAAATATTGTTTTTAACATACTAGTAGCCTACCTGTGGTACTTAATTTTTAGACACTACTTCTAAATCCAAAAAGATCCTATTATTTATTTCAATAGAGAATAACTATGTTGTTACAAGTAACTCCTCTTGGGATCTCATTGAGATATCAACTCAATTTGGGTGATATATGTTCCAGATGTGACTACTAACAGCAAATTAGCATCTATTCACTTCACTTGAGGCCAGTACTTTTATTCTTCTATTATTTTTATTCATCTATAATTAGTTACTTGTACATATACTTATTTATCATCAGATACTACTATTTATTTTTTAGATACTAAATCCAACTTAATCACCAGGTACAACTTATATAATAGAAATCTATTAGGTACTAATACTTAGTTTTAATATCTTATCAGAAGGTTTTGTAATTATAACTAGTAACAATTATTTTCAGTTTCTCTATCAGAATCTTCCCTAAGAATTATCCTAGATATATAATAAGAGTATCTAATAAACTTCTACAATTAATACTAGTACATAATGAATAACTAAAATGCATAAACATTAGATAAATAAGCTAATTAGCAAGTAGGTAATGAATATGTACTAGTATTTAATGCAATGATCAAACAGGGGTCACACTTTATTTTGATGGTCTGTTTGTTAAATTAAGTTACATTGCATCTATTTGCCAACTTATTCTCATTAGACTATAAGTAGACTGTTAGGTTGGGGTTAGTGAAGGTTGACATGTACTTGCAAAGTTTCTTTAAGTCAGCTAAATGTCTGTTAAAGGAGCAGTATAGACACATATATATAAGCAATCAGTCTTCTAATAGTCAAATGGACCATCAAAATAAAGTGTTACCCAAACAGGTAGTAGCATAATAATGAATGTCAATTACAGTTTCTGGACAGAATCTTATATGGCTTAACATACTACCAAGACCCCAACATTTTTCATCATATTCTTTTGTGTTTCATAGGTGAAAGAAAGTCAAACAAGTGGATGGTGAGTACATGATGACAAATTCATTTTGGGGATGAACTGAACTTTTAAGATACTCATATTTAAGGTAAGTAAACAATACAATTGTAATAGTAACTATAAAAAATAATAAACAAAGACACAAGGGTACAATGTACAATGTGTACAATGGCAGGCTGTTCTGTGGAAAGCAGTAAATACCTTTCTGAGGAATTGTGTATATGCAAATTGCCAATTTGAGCAAAGAAACACACAACAACATTTTAGAATTAGAAATGAAGCAGGTAAGAGGTGAGTCAAGGAAAAGGTTTATTCTTTATCACGGATGCATCCCTTTCATCAGATTCTCAATGCCCCCTAAAACACATTATATTATACAAGAAAGCTCATAATTAAGGAAACATTATAAGTATGTACAACAGTTTTAGACATTTGTTTTTCCTTCAGGAAAAATATAAATAACACTTCTTACATCAGTCTCTGCAATTTCATTATTAAACGGTGCCTTGGATTTTATACAGTGCTTTGCAAAATCACAAGGGCACTTTAAAGAAAAGAAAAAATCACTGAAAGGTGCGATTAGTTTTAGTCTAACAATGAACAAATGTACATTTAAAACATATGCATGATGGGGACAGAGAAAACAAAATGTACAACGTATTATCAATTATTACCAATTTAAAGATTTCCTTTAAAAATGATCAATTTAACACTGTGGAAAGTGACCCACAATGAGAAATCCTGGAACATTTTCACCGTACAATAACGAGAACAGTTCCGAAATAATCAAGGATTTATTTGTTGTTTCAAATACGTCAGTGGCTTTATTATTGTTCAATGTCCAGCCAGTTTAAACAGCATCGTCTCCATATGTACCGCTCCATACAGCACTCGCACTTCTTTCATTTCTACCCATTATACACTGCAGATAGAGATCAGAATCCACATGCACTTAAATCTTACTCAGAAGCTTTAAAGGAAATACTGTAACAACTATTATCATCAGTATTATTGCTGGCCTCATCAGATTCCTTAGATTTCACAATACATAAAAAAAAAAAGGTTGTTGAACCCTGATGCTTAATTCAAAAGCCAAGACAGGCAAAGGCAGATTTATTAGTTTCTAGAATAAATAAAACAAGAAAGAGGGCAAATTCATTAATTCTAAAAGAGTTAAAATGAATACAAATAAGGCAAAATAGATTAAAGCTGCCTAAATAACATAAATGGTCCAGCCAAGACAATGAATTGATCGTCGTATCTTCAATAATAAGTCAGTTGTGCGGAATTAACAGGCACGTTGCATAGAAATAATAAAAATATGAACATCAGACTTGTACTTTACGGGTATCTTAACTGTATTTGTTCATGTTTTTTTTTAATGCAGTGCTAAACTACATTCATTAAAAAGACTCTCTGCTATAAATATTGACGAATCATAGCAGTTTATGAGTAAATTGGAGCAATTCTTGTCACTTTTTGATCAAAATGTTTACCAGTTTAAAAAATCATAACCACAGCTAGGTTAAAAAGCATTGATATCCATTCAAAGTACAAAAGTAGGTTCCATAGTAAATATTGTAAAACATGTCAGGGAATCTTTCTAGTTTATTAATGCTTCAACAATTAATGCTAGATAGAGGAAACTTTCTGGAAGTAATATTTCAACATACTTCTGTGTATTGGTTTTCATTTTCAATACTTCAAATGGAGTTAAGAGTTAAACTGCCAAATGTAATGCAGTGGTGAAATGCACTTTACCTTCCTCTTTTGAGGTACACTGACTGACAGACATAATAATACAGTTTAACCCAGGCTAAAATAGCGCAAAAGGGACAATGAAACAATAAATAAGTAAATAAATAAATAAATAGCATGCGGATTTTAAATGTCAGTTTTTTTTCTGTTGGATTGTTCATTTTTGAGGTCAGTTAACACAGTTACACAATAACACGATAGAGTCACTGCCTTCTGATTGTGTAACTACCATAAAGCACACGTACACACAGTTTCTTGGGAATGTGCTAAGCTAAGATTAATATGCGTTTGAATGATTAGAGGAAAAAAAAGCTTTCATGAGTCGGGTACACAAGTGAAATGAAAAACTGGCAGTTGCTCGTTATTATTAGTTATTAATGATGATTGTCTTATATAGCAAATCACCCCCAGAACTAAAGCAGAGTGTTTGCTTGGCCTGCTTGCGAAAGCCACTTCTTTATATTCTTGAAACAACCAGAATTAGTAGCAAACAAAAATCCAAAGCAAACAGCTGGAATGTTGTAGTGTTGAGGGATCCACTCGGAGCAAAAAAAATGGTTTTCGTTTTTTTTACGTGCAATCAGACGCATAGATCCTTGAAAGAAGGACATTAGTGACTGAACGGAATTGAGGGAAGATAAATAAACTTCCTAGAGAGTCTTTTCTTGTTTTTGAAATACAATTTTCACCGACTCGCAGTTGAAATATTGCATGCTCGGCTTTCCGCTCGATGCTAGATAGTTCATAACTGTCAGTCACAAGCATTATTTGGTTACAAGATCCACTGTAGAGCATCTTTATTTGTTCAAAGTTTGTTCTCTTATCGTACCAACTCTATGTTTCAGTGGAAACGGCATCTCTTGCACTCTTTCAGTCGACATATATCTGTCCCATAGCCCTAGTCTCTTATTGCGTTTTCTTTTTAAGTGCATGGTCAGGCCAAGTAAATGGATTGGCGAAGAGTCTTAAAAACGTCTTGAGGATCATGGATCTGATGGAAGATCTACTGTGGTAGTCTTCTTGGGCATCGACAGAATGCTTTCAGCTTCCTCATACATCTAAAAAACAGAGAAATACGATTACAACATGCAAAGTGAGTACAGGACATTGTTTTTGAAAATGTATATTATGCCATTTTGATAGTTTCACAGAAATGTAAACTCATGAAAAATTACAGTGTAAAGCCATATGTAGTCTCAGAATTTATGAAATGTATATAGTTTCAGCATCAATATTGCAACGCGTGTATCCGTAATAGTCATATCACAGGATATGCAATTGTTGTGTGGAGTATAGTTGAGTCACAATTCAGAACACAAGATTTGAGGAAACACTGCAGAGTTTAATCATAATAGAGCGAAAGTTTATCATACGCATGTGTTTTACGGCCTGTGAGTGTGTTAGCATTTCAAGAGAGTTTAAAGCATTCATGTACAAGAAATTGTATTGTTTTGTAACTTTTATGAAGGTAAACTGTATTGAATTGTTTATAATGAAGACTGTGTGTTGTTATTTTATATTTAATTATTCAATTTCTGTATCTGAACGCTGTTAGACTCTTCAGAAAAACAAAGCACTGTTTTTTTCACTTTACCTGTGCTCTATTGTATTTAAATGCGTCTAATTTATTTATTATATTTCATGCATGATTCTTTTTCATAAAGAATAATCCCAATCAATCTAAAACTTATGATTTGTTTGTAAACAGAGCTACTTAAGCCATCTGGACAGACTGTATTAAGATTACAATACATAAATTGCAAAATGTCAGACTTTTCCAATATCATGCAGCACTAAAAGACTATTTATGATGCTAGTGAAATGTTTTTAACACAATGAGTATCTGGATGAGTTTTGGAGTGTCATTAGTTTCATTTTCATGTGACAAATGTTTTATTTGTATTACCGGAATGAACTGAACATCTTGGAAGAGTTCCTGAATGAAGCGTCTTGAAGCAAGTCTGAACATGCAATGAGCCAGCAAGTATGAAACTTCAGAATAGAGGCAGATATCATCGAAAGCATAGGGGAACTTTTCCTTAATGCTGCAAAGCAAACGAATCAAAATGTCAGAATAAAAAACAAATCATGTTTAACCAAAACATTCCGTTATCATTAACTCACCCTTCACTTGTTCTTAAACTTAAACACAAAAAAGATACATAGAAGAATGTTTACAATTGACTTTAATATTATGGCTTTCCTTCTATGGATGTCAACGGCTACTGGTCAGCAATATTCTTCAAAATATCTTCTTGTGTGAGCAGTAAACAAAGAAAACTCACAATGGTGAGTGAATTTTTACTTTTAGCTGAACAGTCCCTTTAAGGAGTACTTACCCTCAATGTTCCTCAGGAAAATGACCAAATAGGTCAAACTAAAGTAATAATAATTTAAAGCGGTTTTCAACTAAATCAACGTGAATAAAGAAATAAACAGGGGAATTATAATCATCAATGCTTACGTGAGGAGTCCAGTTTCGTTCCCTTTAGTGCCCACTGAGGAGCTTAGGTTGATGACCAGACGAAGCACCTCCTTCCTCAGAAGAACTCGACAGGCCGGAGCATCTTCTGGAATGTTTTTCACCCCTGCCAGAAAAAAAAATATGTACAGCTAAACAATTTACTCAACCTGTACTATAGGCATAGGAAATGATCGAGTCCGAATTTGCAGCCTGAAGGATTGCTCACCAAGAACAAGCTCAGTGCTGCGAGTGCTGCCACCAGAGCCCTGAGAGACGGCGTCGCTGCAGCCTGACACTCCAGAGTACTTAGACTGAGGCATCACTTCCAGGTTGTGTATGGACTGATTGCACCATTCCGAGAATGTAGCGTCAGGATAGTCTGAAATACAGTTGAGAGATGAAGAATCTATAGTGAGTAAATAAATAGATGACTAGAAGAGGAATACTTTTACGATGTCTGATCCCATGTTACCTTTCCAAAAAAACAAATTCAGTCAATAATTATTCTTCCTTGTGACATTAAAAACCACAGAGATTTTTGATCATCTTCAGAACACAAATGAAGATATTTTGGATGAAATCCAAGAGCTCTCTCATTCTCCTAAGACAGCAATGCTCCTGACTTGTTTAAAGTCCAGAAAGGTACCAAAAATATCTTCAGTGGTTCAATCAGAATATTAAGCTATAAGAATACTTTTGTGTGTGCACAGAACAAAAATAATGGCTTTACTCAATGGTTTCTTATTCTCATTGTCAGTACATTGCGTACATACAGGAGAGCACTGTGCACTGGTGTACGCCCAATCAGTATGGATGTCCATGTGTGACTGTTGATTTTGTTTGAAACAGCACAGTTGCATCCAAATACGCCAGCAGTTCAACCAAGCTCTACACACGAACAGAGCACATCGCTCTCGTGAATGTGTCCTCTGACATTGAGGAAAAGAAAATGTTGTTATAAAGTTGTTATTTTTGTTTTATGTGCACTGAAAGGTATTCTGGCAGCTTTTAGTCAGGAGGCATACAGTCTTATCCGAGGATGCTTTTTGGTAATTTTCTGGACTTTCGTTGTGCATGGAGGATGAGGGAGCTCTCAGACTTCATGTAAAATATCTTAATTTAAATTTTGAAGATGATACGAAGTTCTCAGGGGTTTGAAATGACATGAGGCTGTGTAATTAATAATATAATTAAATGAATAAAATTCTTTAAGGCAAGACACTACAGGTGAATAGGGTTAACTAATAGTAAACACCATAGTTCCAAAGTTGTTTGGAACATTTTTATAACAAGTTTTCTAAAACCCTATGTTTAAATGTGATTAATAATATATGAATATGATTTTAATTAAACATCCTATTTGGCAAACATTTCACCGTTGGATGAAATCAAGTTCAAAATTCTTGCTTCATTTTCTTGACATACAGTATAAGGCGTCTCTTTTATCAAAGCATAGTTCAGAAAATAAACAACAAAACCTGGATCATACCTGTGCGGCTTTGCGTGGCAGAGCTTGAATTGCAGCCAAGTACATAGAGCCCTGCACAGTAAAGACAGTTCTCCTCAGTGTGCTCCTGCAGGCCGGTCTCCTCTGCACCCAACATTTGATGCTTCTCCATACGACTCACTGCAATCAGCTCTGTTATACTAAGCTGAGAGCGCAGAACAGAGTGTCTGGACACTTCGCTTGATCCTGACAAAAGAACAGCTTTCAGTCACTGAAACTGAGTGGTGAGACACTACTGCTATTGGATTTGTATGCAGAATAACGAGCTACTGATACAATATTCAGTAACCATTTTTATCTTTACCATCTGCCTCGCCCGAGAAGAACTTTGCAGCCCGGTCTTCAGATGGTGGACTTTTCCTTTTTTGAAAGTATGGCGTGTCCTTGATCTAGGTAGCAACCAAAAGAAGATACATTTCAGGTGAAACCTTCAGTCTTCCCTCTCTGTACTGGTTTTCAGTGTTGGTCAACCCAAGGAAATACGTTTCAATACTTTTTCTTTCAGTCCAGAAATCTTATATCATTCCAATAGGACAATTTATTATTGAACGTACTTTCAATATTAAGATGGCTTTTTAATTTTTAGAAATAATAATAATTTATTTTTAATTAGCTCTATTTTTCACATATTTGAACTATTTCACTCTAATTAAGCCCTATTTTTTCACTTACCAAAAAAAAAAAAATTTAAAAACAAAGAACATCCAAATGTATTATGTATTTGTCTAGAAAAAATATTCACAAACATTTCTTTGTTTTTTGCCGCTATAGGGCTCTATTTAAATCAATGGAGACACTATACAGAAGAGATAAACTAAATCATTTATATGAATACATGCTTATATGAATAACTTTTTACATTTAAAAATATAGAGAGAGAGATTTTAAAAAATCTTCAAAGTAGGCATAAGCCGGTATAAGATTTTGATGTATGATAACCTTGGATAAAAATACCACAATACTGTGATTACTGCTCTAAAATATGTTTTTTTATTTTTGGGTAAAAACAAAAACTTTTTAAACACTTAAAATATTTTGGAATGATAAATATATCAGGCTAAATAATTCAAATCAATCATTGACTTCTGCTGTCTTTATTAGCTTCAAAATACTATATAGTTTAGTTTTGAAAACACAATAGAAACAAAAACACTGATTCCTTCTGATCTAAAATAGCATTTTTGGAAATCTTTTCTGTTGGAGATACTGTTGTCCTAAAAAAAAGTAAAGGTACCTAAAAATACCTAAAAAACAAACAAAAAAAAAAAAATTAAAAAAAAAAATATATTTTTTTTTTACATATACCATAGGGTGTCCAAACTCGGTCCTGGAGGGCCAGTGTCCTGCTGAGTTTAGCTCCAACTTGCTTCAACACACCTGCCAGGAAGTTTCTAGAACGTATATCCAGTAAGAGCTTGATTAGCTGGTTCAGGTGTGTTTGATTAGGGTAGGAGATAAACTCTCCAGGACAGCGGCCCTCCAGGACCGAGTGGGGACACCCCTGCCATAGGGACTGTTTTAATATATAAACCTTGATTTTTCCAAACCGCGATATACCCTAAAAACAGTTATGGACCCATGCCTAAACCAAAGTCAATAATTGTTAGATCAATCTGATGAACACTCAGAAAAATGCATCAAAATTAAATCAAGGAGAGGTTTAGGCTTAAATGGTATTTTCGTAATGACTGGTAAACAATTCATACCTTTTGACTTACTCCTATCCTAAGTAAACATGCAGGTGGGCATAAACTTAAACCTGTAGACGTCTTTTTGAAACACTTTAACTCTTATTTAATAGGCATGTCAATACAAGTTGTTAACAAGATCATAGAATTGACAGTAACCTGGAACATGCTGTTGATGTCCATTGGCAGAGCAAGGCCAATGTAATCATCAGAGCTGCCATACGTGACACTGGACACCATAGAGCGCACTGATGAGGAGCGCTGTAGAGACGTCTGACTGATAGGGCTCAGAAGGTCCTCTTTATCCAGGGATGCAAAACTCAGAGCCTTGAGAAACCTGCACTCATATAAAAGGGAAAAGATCAGAGAGAATCACCTGGAAGAGGCACAACATTGGAAGAGAGAAAATGAAGCGTTCTCTTTTTTTTATGACGTTTCTCTAAAGTTTTGATAGCAAATGATTGGTTGGTTTTTCAATGTAGGAACAAGCTTGTGAAGTGTATTCTTATTTCAGAAAGTGAGCAGCTGTTTGTCATTTGCTGCATCATCATGCAAGTATTGCACTGTGGGTCAAAAACCTCTACATGCTTCTTGGATCAAATGTGGGAATACAACTAGCATGGGAATCTGCTGGACTCAGTTCAAATAAGCAAACTACTCGAAGACAGGACATAGGTTAGCAAGTCTTTTTTAGAACTACGTACAATCAATGAGGGATGAAGTAAATTGGCTTTGTCCTACTGTGGGGAGGACTGAGGAGTCATGGTTGAGGAGAATTGGGTTAAGGTATGGGCTGTGGGAGCACTAATGAGAAATGGAAAATAGGGGCAAAACACGACGAAAAAGAAGCCAGGGTTTGCATAGTAAAAAATGGACTGAAGTGGACGTTCAAAGTGAAAGAGGGGAACGTCAACCCTGGGGATGGTCCACGCACCGTGGGAGCAGACTTCTGCGATGGGGCCTGCTTGAACCTTGGCCCAGACATCTGAAGCGCTTTTTAGTACACCTGAGAGGGACCATCAGAAACAGACCACATTATTTCCAGAGGGGAGCAGTGATTTAATAGGGATTTTGGGGGGTAATTTCCTCATTATGGATGGTAACAACAACATTAATGGGGGATTTTAGTGCTTGTTTCTTGTCTTATTTACATATTTCTAGCATGAGTAACATTATGACCCTATCAAACTGATGTTTGTCAAAGCCGAAATTACAAAAACAATATAAAAGTTTAAGGATTGACTCTAATGTCTTCACTCCTACAGACTACTCTTAGACATTCTCATTGAGTCAGCACATCTGGGTATCACTGGACTGGGACGATAATGACTGTGGATGCATTCTGTGAATTTTTTTTTTAAATAACTGGTGTAAAGTGTAAGATCTGATGCGAAAGAGACAGCAATAGAAAGATGATGCAATGTCAGACAAATAAAAGAGTTTCACACCATCTGCAGGGCCATCTGCTTTACCTGCGTGGTGTGAGTCTGGAGTCCAGGCTGCCAGTTTTCATGGTGATGGCATCCGTGAAAAGGACGTCTTTGGCAGGTGAAGCAAGCGCCTCACTATGAGAAAGGGAGGGGTGGATACGTTGCTGCTGCAGTCTTTTTAGGGTAGCGTAACCCAGTGCGTCCCGAGGGCTGGTGTACATGAAGCTACAGTCTGTCAGGCTCGAGATGGTTGTGACTGAAGGCGATTTAAGGGACTGAGCTCTGCGGGGCAGAGTGTGAGAGGAACCTGGCGGCATCAGCAAAACTGAGTTTGATTTGGACAGAGTCAAGTGGTTCGACTGGGGTGTGAGAGAATGGAGGGTTTTGACAGTTTGAGTGCTAATGACAGTATTGAGGCTAACACAATCTGTGTCGATGGTGGAAGAGTCCACACAACCTACAGTCTCTCTAGATGGGCTGGAACTCATGGAGCTGATGCCGCTGGTGGTCGTGTCTGTGTTGAAACTCTGGCTGCGGCTTTTAAACTGAGCCCCGCTTCCAGAGGTTGAGCCATCACCGGCAAGCCTTTCTCGACTGGTTTGTTCACGGTGGGTATCTCCTACCCCTGAGCTTCGTTCTGCAGTTCTGTTCAGACGTACCTCTTGCTCTCCAATACTAGATGTGCTGTCCTGAGTATCCAAAGTCTTAGTGCCTACAAAAGAAGTCTCCAAACTAACACTGGGGCTTTTTGGCAGATGTCCATCTGTAAATACAGGACTGAAAACGTCTCCCTGACTAGAAGAGAAGATAGAGGGCTCTGTGACTGTGCGTACCCTCCGGAGGCCTCCCAGAGTGAGCTCGCCTTGAAGTTTACTGCTACTGCCAGTGCCTTTGGGGTCACTGGTACTGCGGAGTTTCTTTCCGGAGAGGGAGATCAGGAAGCGGTTCCGGACAAGTCGACTGGAGGCCAAAATGGTGAAGGGGCTGCGGTCCTTTAGAAGTTTAGGCCGAAAGTACAGTGGCTGGTCTTCTGAAAGTTCAGAACTTTCCAACTTCTCATCATCCAGGATGTACATGGCTGAAAAAGAAGTCATTTAGGCAGCTTTAACTTGAGTAAATATACAGCGTGTGCACAAGTAACATGTGGTTTGTGATATCGGCCCAAGAAAAGCTTTTTCCCCCCAAGCCAAAGCTGTTCAAAGCATTTTCCCAGTATTTTTGTGAGTCAGGCTTGGCAGCTGTTCTTAGTCATCTAAAGCCAGTCTGGGGGTTGATGACTCATGGGTCTATCCAAGCCAAAGACGTGACAAGTGTACCTCTGCGTATACATGTAGGCCAAATCATTTCATAATGTAGGAAAGATCCCTTTTCATTGTTGAGTCTGGCAGATTAAATAGGAACAGACCCTAATTTGTAAATCCTTTTTTGTTTGGGAATTCTTTTTACGATATTTCTTAATCGTCAGATCAATCTACATATCAAAAAAATATTTTATATGGCTGGCAGTCAATACTGACCAGTTGACAGTTGCAAAAACACAGACACGTGTTAAGAGTTTGTTTTTTAGAACGAATTGACCAACTAGCCAATAGATAATATCTTGCTTTTCAGAATAAACCTAGAGTGGCCAACTTTTTTGTAAATGATAACTGGCAAGTCTTAAAGAAACAAAAAATGGCAATAAAAACTTTTTTTAAAGATAAGTCTTAATGAAGTATACACTAATGCCAAGTTCAGACTGTATCATTTTAGCCCCCAATTTAAACTCGCCAACAGGTTTTGAGAAATTTCCAACAAACAAATGCCTGAACTTGCAGGCAAATGGGTGCTCGTTCACGTGAGCATTAATCACACAGCAGGGCTCGAAATTAACCTCTTTTCTTGGTCGCACCCACCAAAAATTATGAGCAGCGTTACAACACGTTTTATATTAAAAGATTCTAGTATATATTTACACTTTAATCACAACTAACAAATAAACAAAAATCTGCATGCACTCATCGGCTCTGCAGGCACTGCTTGACCTGAACGAGATGAACTGAGTTACAATAATAACTGTGCTGTTCTGATATTGCACAGATGATTTTGACATATAATAGCAATAACGTTCTTTTCATGAGCTGCAACATTGGTTTCATCTCAGTGAATGCATGCTCTGTAGCGATGGTAAACATGGTATCAGTTGAACGATTAGATGAAGGATTAAATAACATTACAATATCTCGTGTTTAAAATGTGTAGATTCAGTGGCAAACACTGTTACCTAACCTTTATGGTAAATGGCTTTAGTCATTTTCATAGCGGACTTTAAACACTGGAAGTCTTTTATCCACTCTTCGAAAAGTGTAAAAGCTGGATTGAAATTCATTACATGATCACTAATCAGATGTGCCATTATTTGTAACTTTAGGTGGTTTCTAAAACAAAATCTGACAGGGTTGTTTTTTATTCTCTCGGATCCAGACCTTTACATTTTCGCAGCTGTAGCTCCTTGTCATCGGAACAGAGTGATGGACAGCTGATAATAATCAATCCATTCGCATTCTGTTCTAGCGCAGTGGGTCAATAAGAAGGGGTTGAAGGCAGGGCAAGCATTGTCAACTGGACATGTCAACTGTTTTAAACCGTTCCCGAGCGATGCGTTTGGTGTTTTTAGGTGCAAAGATGCTTAATGCGTGAATGCCTCCACGCATGTGGTAAACATTTTGCTGTGAAAACTGGTCGCATGACATCAATTTTATGCACTCGCACAAATGCTCCAAATTATATTTTGAGGTCACATAGATAAAATTTCAGGCGCATATGCGTCAAAACGGTTGCAATTTCAAGCCCTGCACAGTGTGAACGATCAAAGACGCAACCTGAGAGAATAGCAGATGAGTCGCCGACACCTGTCAGATATTTGGCATGGTAAATATCTGGACCTCTCAGCGATTCAAATCATGTCGTGTGAAATGTGTTCTGATTAAAAATAACATCAGCGATCACCTACAGCCAATGGGAGAGCAGCATCCCCTAGTGTGGGTATCTGCAAGCCAGCCTGAGGTTGAGGGAGAAGGTCAAAGGGCTTCTTTTCAGTCTATTTGGACCCAACAAAGGATGGAAAAACTAGTGTAAATTTGGCAGGAGCACCCATGTTTGTTTGACGTGTCATCTGAGCAATACCACAACTGGATAAAAAAAGAAATAGTCATGCAGACTATTTCCAGATAGTCATGCAGTGCGAAAACATCTGTGACACGACTACTTTAAAAATCGTACAGTCTGAACTCAGCATAAAGGTTGTCCCAAGTTGAATGCATGTTAAAGAAATGACTATGCTTCTAATTCAAGAACCGGAATAAAAAGGGATACTTTATTGAACAAATGATAGCAAAGCATCAGTAATGTTAAGTTGGTACCATATGTGCTATGCTATCATTCTAAACTGTAATGATTTACCAACATAGAAAACAAAAATGACGCCATTTTAAAAAGACACATTCACAGCACTATACTATAGTCAGATTCTAAGGTAATAATGATAGTGACAAGATAAACATGCTTGAAATGAACAGATATGGAGCCCAGCTAACCATCAGCTGGTAATAAGCATCTCCACCCTAAACCACAGTTCTGCACTATATGCTGTTAGTCATGGATGAGTCTGTGGGAGCAGCACTCACTTGGCTGAATGGAGTCACTCTCGCTGTTGTGTCTAGAGCTGGTGGACTCTGAGGTTAAGCTGAGGGTGCTGGGAGCTGACGATAGGTGAATGAGGGGTTGCTGGTGCTGTTGCTGCTGCTGCTGTAGGTTCTGGTGCTGCTCCACCTCATCGGGGACCACAGGCCAAAGCTGTCTGCGATTGTGCCTGACTGCATCCCAGCCATGAAGCTTGAGCACCTCACAACCCTGCTTGGTTTTAGAAATGAGTCCCAGAACATACAGACAAGTCCTGAAATAAGGGTAAGGGGAAAGATTGAGAGAGCAAGTTAAAATGGGGGGTGGGAAAGAAGCAAAGCTCAGAGTGCATTGAAATAAAGGAATGTGAGATTGCCAAAGAGTAGCAGAAGAGGACTGACACAATTCACTGAGTCATGCAAACTCAGAAAAAAAAAAAAAATGGGATTACGGTTTCCGAGAAAGTAAGTTTGAAACCAGAAGTGTCTGGTAAGGTTCTGGTAATGTTAACTTTCGATTACCCTATGTTTATTCTGGGTGCAGTTGCTTCACACTATTGCATTATGACAAGTGGGAAACCAATGAAGTGTCTTTTTTGTTATTTCGTTTGTGAAAACTGGAACTACACATCCAACTTCTGAACTTTTAAAGGAATTTTTTTTGAAAATAGACTTATTTTACAACTTCCCTAGAGTTAAACGGTTTTACCATTTTTTAATCCATTCGGCCAACCTCCAGAAGGTGCAGTGGTATTACACAGGACACGAAAATAGTCCACAAAGTGTGTGCCGATTGCGCTGCTTAATATCACTACACTTTTGAGCAAGATGCTAATGCTTTAATAAAATTCAATTATCTATGCTAAACTAAAGTCCTTCTGACAGATTTGGACATTTTTGGATTAAAAATAGTAAAACAGTGTCAGAAAGTACAATTTTTATTTTTTAAAGTGGAGTGTTCCTTTAAAAACCCACTGTGCAAATCTCCAAGGCCAATAGACTATGGCCCAATCCCAATTCTACCCCTTAGCCCTTCCCCTTACCCCTTGTTTTGTGCGTTCACGTGAAGGGGTAGGGGTGTCCCAGTTCTCTTTAGCTTGAAGGTGTAGGGCTGGGAAGAAGGGCTAGATAGCCCTTGAAACAAAGCTTTTTCAGGACCACACTCGAAACCAAGGGTTAAGAACATTTTCCAGAATAAACAAGCTACAACGACAGCAAGGGTGCACACGGAAATCAGGAGATGCACAAATAAGTAGTTTTTTTGTCATTATTACAAATGTACAAAAAAGACAACAAACTAGCACATCTTTTAATACACCCATAACCGCATTTGTTTTTTTAAGATCATGCTTGAAAAAAAAAAAAAAAACACTATTTATAATCCATATATAGTGATCCAGTATAGTGATCCCACAACACATCTGTAACTCGATGACACTAGAATTCTCTTGAGAAAAGTCTAGTGGCTGGGAATGAGCTTTTTAAAGTCTCTGCTATAATGTTAATGTTGTTTTTGTGTGTTTACATAGATGCATATGTCCACTGTGTAAATGCAGAGTATAGTTACGATCTTGTTGTCACATTATATCGTTACAATAACATGATATATGCCTTCACTGATTTCCTGAAGATAACTATCAAAAAATAACTGGAATAACTACAGCAGTCTCAATCGTCGATCTCATATGAAGAAAGAAATCGCGATGACATATAATGACGTTTCCAGGTATTGTGGAGGTGTCTCATTTCTTAGGGGTAAATTTGAAGCCCTTCTTCTTCACACTCCGTTTCAAGGGCCAAGAGGAAGGGGTATAGGTACACAAATAGAATTAGGATTGGGCCACATAAAACAATTTCATCAATTTACTATTATTGATCAAATGTATATTAGTGCTGTAATAAAGAGTACATACCCCCTAATAGACAGAACCTCACAGTCATGGGCAAGAGCGACAATATCTGGAATAACATTCTCTTCCTGTAGGAGGTTCAGTCCCCAGTTAGACGTGCCAATGTTTCCCTTAAGGCAGACAGAGTAGGGAGTATAATATTACCACTGCTTTTGACAATTATTACTAAAAAGTCCAGAGGTTAAACAAGCTCAACATGTCTTATTCTCATGTAACAAATAACAAAAAACCTCAACAAACACAACTGCTCACCAGAGCCCAAAGAGCAGCTTTAAGCTGTTTGATGCCCTCCCATTTGTCCAGCAATGGGCAGCGCACTGTGTAACTCAGGTCTGAAACTACATTCTGGCAAAAAGAAAAAGAGAGTCATTACATGAAAAAAAAAATGCACTACGGCAGGACTTCAGTCACCATCAGTGCCAATCATAAATCATTTACACATACCTGAGCTTCCAACAAATGACAGCCTGTCTTATCATGTACCAGTTGTCCATACAAATGCACAGGAAGAAAAACATTTGGTCTCTGTAACCTGTAAGAAAATTAGGTAACACTTTACAATAAGGTTCATTAGTTAATGCATTTACTAACATGATCTAATCATGAACACTTGTACAGCATTTATTAATCATAATTGAACATTTACTAATGCATTATTAACATCCAAGTCCATGCTTGATAACATAAGTAAATGCACCATGAGTTAACATGAACTAACAATGAACAACTTTATTTTCATTAACTAACGTTAACTAACATGAATAAATACTGTAGTAAATGCATATTTCATTGTTTGTTTATGTTAGTAAATGCATTAATTAACATTAACTACTAAACCTTACTGTAAAGTGTGACCGAAAATTATTAGACAGATTTTTCTAAAGCTCATGGAGTGGGCTCCTAATAATATCAACTGTAGTACAGAATAAGGTTTGAAAGAAAACCTTTGGTTGCTTCGTCGCACATAGTTATCCCCATCTACTGGTTTACGGTAAGTAGTGAGCGCTTCATTTAGCTGTTCCTCTATGAGGTCTACATACTTGAGGTTGTATTCCTATAGGGAAACAAAAACAATTGGACACAATAGGATGACTGAATAACACTTAGTTTGCACATTTGTATTCAAGTACACTATTAATTAATGGACAAATAACAAATACATGAATGTACACAATATAAATTTAATATAACTTAATTATTTGAGCATATCAATGTTGGGTGTAATTAGTTACAATAGAACTAGTTTTTGCATTAAAAATACTTTTCAGCTGAAAAAACAGTAAGGACTATTATTATTATGTCATGAACATTTTTGACAACTTTTTCAGTGGAACAAACTGTATTGTCAGTAAAATATCTCATTAAAATTGTCATTACTCAAAAGACTACTGTCTTTTGTATTTAATGACATTTAATGATATTTTAAGTTTATTATTATTATTATTAATATTATTATTATACACATTGAGATTAAAAATCTCTTTTACAAAAGCGTCCTGGCCAAGATTAGGCAGTACACGTCACATGTGTCTGACAAACAACAAACAATTGACAGTTAACATGAATAAAACATTTGCAAACACACTATTTAAAACATCTGCAAACCTGTGTTTCCATTTATAAATCGTTTCTACTCTTTTTAAAAGCATTTACTGAAATCAGTTCTTTAAACTGCAACTTGGTTTGTAGATTATTCCATGCAAAAGGCACTGTGTATTTAAAAGCCCTTTTCCCCATCTTAGTCCGCACTTTAGGAACAGACAGTAAATAAATTTCCTGTGGTCGAAGGCCATAGCTAAGGACAGGCTTGTGTAGATATGATGCGAGTAAACCCAGTATAGATTTATAAACAAAGATATGCCAATGCTTGAGCCTACGGATGGACAAAGCAACCTACCCTAGTATACAACATACAATGATAAGAGATTTAAAATTAGTTATAAATATTAGTGCCCCATGGTAAACAGTTTCCAATGCATGCAGACTCTGAGACAAAGCATGCAGATAGATAACATCACAATAATCCGATATCCACATAAATGTAGCATCAACCAGCTTCTTTTTAGCCTAAAAAAGCAGTTTTTAATTCAAAGATAGAAGCCTAAAATCATATTTTTCACCAATTGCTGAATGTGAGAACTAAAAGAAAATGTATCAGCAATTAAAATTCCAAGATATTTGTGCTGGGACACCAAATCTCTGCACCATGAGAAGCAGTAATAAAAACTAGCTTTTGCTCAGTTTGTTTTGAGCTAGAAAATAACGTAAGCTTTGTTTTATCAGCATTTAAAACTAGTTTTAAGTCAGATAAAGTATGTTGAAGTATGTTAAAAGCAATCTGTAGTTGAGAAATTCAGCTTGTATTACTGCAGTTGAGGTCAAAAATATTAATGACTGTTGTAAAATTCCTCACATATTTGTTAGGGCTTCATTAAAATAATACTAATAATGTAAAGTTGTCATAAAAAACAATGTCATCTTTGCTTTTAAAATGGCATAACTGAGCATATGAGACTAAATGACAGTTGTTAAAAAATGCATAAATAATGTGTCATGTCAAAATTATCAAGATTCATGACACCCTTTCAAATAAAGTGTTACCAAATTGACTTATTGAGTTACATTCCAGACAGTCATTTAAATACAATTTGAATGATTAAGGCAATTGGTACTTAGTTATTAATTACTTAAAAAAGGCAACTTCTCCAAAACTTGGTATAGATACACTACCTTCTGCCACTTCTCCAGTTGTTTACTAACATATCCTCTTTCATTTAGATAGGAGAACCCCTTGGGAATGGACAGAAACCTAGAAATGGATGCCACATCATCAGATTTAAAAGACAAGCAGTTTGTTCAATAAGCAAAATAGAAACTTTACTGCAAGTAAATTAAACATAACAAATAGAGAAAAAAGAAATACAGGCACTACTACGATTTTTCATGTTTTACTTTTATGAACTCAATTTAAAAAGTACAATTTTATTTTAGTAAGTATAAAGCATGTGCAACTAAATGAATACATAAAACCAAATAATTAAAACAACAAGAATAAAATAGTTTTTTAAAGTGTAATTTTTAAGAAGCCAAAAAAACAGATCCTTTTTTTTAGGTCTTTTTCTGAATTATTTAAGCAACTATTAGCAAAAAGAACTGTAATATTATTTATTCAAAAAGTACATGCTAATGTACCAATCTAATTTATAACCTTCACACATTTTTGAAGAATCAAGTGACACTGAAAACTGGAATAATGGAAAATTTCCAGAGGAATCATATAAACTTGACTTATATCAAAATAGAAAGAAATTTCACTATATCACTTTGTTTCGGACACCAAGACTGATCTCTTCATCAGATTGCCCATTGTTTTAAATGCTTCTAAGAAATGTGCTACTAATTTAGGCACTCAGGAATTATATAGAGTAGCCTCTGAGTTTTATAGAACAATTAAACAGGAAATATTGAAGCTTTACCTTAACAGCAACAGCACACCTTTGTCTCCCAGGTGAGTTAGTGCTGGCTTCATGTGAATCAGAGCATGCAGATTTGCCTAAGATGCCATGAACAGACAGAACATCAGTTTTGACAGAAGGCATGTATTCACAAGCCAACCTAAAACTCAATCGTTGAAATTCTGGCACAGAGCTTGATCTTAAAACTGGTTGTTTACAGATCTCAATGAAAGATTCCTGGAACAAAATTACACTGGCACTGCACAGTCGAATCACAAACGGCTCCAATATCAACACTCATTTTATCACTTCAGATAAATAACATGACATTCTGCTAAGATAAATATCTCAATGGCCTTAGGCATTCACCTTGTCCTCACAGGCCTCATCCAGTATGTCCAAAGCCTCCACCGAGACGGCCTTGCTGCGGTCGTGTAACTGAGTCACCAACAGTTCAATGCCCCAATTGCTGAAAAACTCCACATTAGCTCGTAACAACACCCGCAGATGCTTGGTGGCGTACAACCTGCAGTTCTGTGCCAAGAAATATTCAAGACTTAAATTACTGTTGCAGCTGCATACAGGCAATGCTTTTACCAGCATGCTTTGCTAAGCATGGCTCAGCTACAGTAAACACACTCAAAGGGTCAAAGGTTAGAAGGTCTATTTCTTACGTCAGTGGCAGCGGTGAGGATCTTTGAGAGGATGACCCGAGCTAAACCATCCCGACTGTAGTCCAGTGTGGAGACCACCAGCTTCAGAAGATGGTCCTGGTTCTTCAGGGAGCACAGGTTCAGCAGGCTGCAGAAACAAACAAGAGGTGTAGATACCAATATATTAGGTGTTTTTTTTTAAAGTTTGCTAAACATTAGGGATGTGCAATGTTATTTAAATAAACAATACAGCTTGTGTTATCAGTCGAAGGGGTTATTTTGATTTTTGAAGAAAAAAGTAGCCTGTCAATGTGGCAAGATTGTTTATAGCCCCATATGCAACCAGTATGTAATGTTTTGCTAGTTTAAAAAGGACTCGTTCTTTACTAACATCCTAATGAATAGTTGTCAATTGTATAATTGATTTACATAGTATAAAATACTAGCATAATTGACCATTTGCAGGCAGTTTGATTGACAGGTGATTTAACCAATCATAACACAGTGTTACTTTCTTTGAAAAGCAGAACAGCCAGAGTAAGCAGCCATAGTAACATCGGCGACTAACATGAAAAATGGTAAAAATGTGCTCGTATAGGCCTTTCAATGCAGACAGCTGGTACCCAGAAAGACTGGATATATATTTTTATTATGAATGAAATGGATGTGTTTGTGTGGGTCACCATCAGCTGTCAATCCAGCTGCTACTTGTTGAACGAATGACTCAAAACAAAGGTACTCAAGACTGATGAACTAATGTTTTCTGTTACTGGAGCAGAACAGTGGGCAAAACCTGAGGTTATAGATATATGACGTGACTATAACCAGTAGACCAATAACTACATGAGGACACATTGCCTGGAGACCCAAATAAACAATCAATTAATCTTTATCATCTTTAATACATTCATAGATGCATTATTATCGTCTTGATAGAGATGCCACCGTTTCCGAGTGTTTGTAAATTCTGCGGTAGGGAATGAATTTGTAACATTTTGATTGTATTCAAATGATCCGAACTTCCCATCAATGTACTTGTATTCTATAGCTTCAGTTTTGTTTTCATTTATGCTCACATGCCCAATATCTCCCTCGAGTGTTCAATGCAGATATGTTTGTCTGAAATCAGTATGTAATTTGTACAGAAATTACTCGATATTTCTCTGGGCAGTGCACAGATTGACAGGGGAGGACCGTGGCTGATAATCTGGGCTTGACATTAACTTTTTTTGATCACTAGTCACTGTGGCTAGTAGTTTTCCAACGTTACAAGCCACACACCATTTTCACTGGCCAAAATTTTGTTGTTGGGGAAAAATATTTTATATTCATGAATTTAACTCTGACATGGTAAAAACTACAAATATTTCCAAATATGACTTTTTTTTATTTCACATGACTTTTTAGGACTAAACAATAAGGATTTTTTTCTCTGGCCACATCAAACTAATTTCCTTGCCACAAATTTCAAATAATGTATCATAACAAGCTAAATATAGCTGTATACATACACTTTTTATTCAACAAAATTGTCAAAGGGATCATTTAAAAAAATTATTCTCATTTATTTAAAACTATTCACTGTAGTTTGTCCAGGCTAAACGTCCCAGATCATCAGGTAACTCTACATAAATGGAGAGTTATCTCTTATTAATGTTTTTATAAAATATTATAATTAAACCATATTAACAAAAATAACTGCAAGCAAAAAAAGCAAGAAAAACATTGTGTGCGATAATGAAAGGATGATCACGTGAACACGGTTAACGTTAGGCCCAGTAATAATCTGTTCAAAGAATGGTAAAAGCGAAAGCGGCAACAGCTGCTGCATACAAAAAATCTTGGGATCTCTTGAAAGCAGCAGGACTGTGGGTGCACGAGCACCGCTTTTTTCCAATCTATTTCAAAGACAAACGATCGCACCAGTTGCATTTCCAGTTTCTTTTAAGCACACGCAGCCATCACATCAGCTGTGCCACGCTCACAACGTCAGTGAGCGAAGATCGCCGGAGTCACTATGTACCTTATCATCCTTGCATTCTGTATTCATCTGCTTTCTTTTGCTCATGTGGAGAGTTATCAATCTTGCTGCTTCTCGATTCTAAGAGCACATTTGCAAGCATATTGACAAACGGTCTTAAACTTCTAAATCTTTAGAGACGAGGCAGCTTTAGCAAATTAAAAATGAATTTCAATCAGCCAAAGTGGCTTGTGGAGTTTGTCTAACCCGCCACAGCTGAAATCTACCCGCATTTGGCAGGTTGGTGGGTGTTAATGTCAAGCCCTGCTGATAACGAACGATTGTCAGACAGTGATAAGGGGCGGGGCTTTGTGAAGGGTCAATTGAGGATACAATACAGGGTTTTTAATCAACTTGGCTGCCTGTTAGCTTTACAGACTTCTAATAAGGCTCCTGAGACACACTGCCAACAACAACTACTTGCAATGAAAGCAGACTGCATTTTCGCATTGCATTGCTTGAATATTTTACATTTTATAAATACTCATTTAGACATATTCATTTGATTTAAAATGAATATGTCTAAATCTAATGTTGACTAAGTGAGTGCCTAATATAGAATGATCATAATCAAAGACAATCACACTGGGCTAACATCCTGGGGATTAACACTTTTCCCAGCAAGCTAGTCAGATACTGCCAGTATTTTTGACGATTTTAACTTAAATTTGATAACCCTCAGAATGTCTTCTGCTAGAAATATATCACCGTAATATAACTTAAAATAATGAACCAAGCCTCTGCTTTTAAACAGCATTTGTAATTCATAATTTTTTACACCATGTAAGCTCTATATTTGCGGATTCAGATGTGTTTAACTGGGTTTGAAGAGCTTAAGTCTGCCGTAAAGATACACTCAGGAAAAAGGACTGGATACCCATTGAGCTAGTCATGTACACAACATTTGTTTATATGTTAATGGAGTTAGTTGTAGCACACATCCACCAACCATTGGAAGACACTGCACTTCTCAAGCATCTTAACGCCCTGGGGATTAGCGGAGAGAGTGCCGAGGAAGAGGAAGTAGTGCTGGCTGAGGGTCGTGAGGAGGCCATTGCTCTGAAGACTACGGTCTGGTTTCAGCCCAGAGGAAGCAGACAACCACTGTACTATGTCCTTAACCAGGTCTTCCAGATAACCCTGGCCATCCTAAGGAGACAGATGTGAAAAATGAAGTAAAGGAATTTTGTTGTTATTGGAAAGGAACAAAACAAGCGATGATTGTAACTTCCATTGAGAGACTGCTCCATTCTTCTTATGCTTTTGGGGTGCATTATTGTGTGCATTTACTGTCACCAATTGGAGAGGACAGCAATTTCTTTCTCTTACTTCAACATACTTATAAATTAGTTTCTAATGTGTGCATGCATTTTACACTCCTCTCCAGTTGCACATCCAAAAATTGCACAACAAAAGAAGAAGATGATGTAGTCTCTAGCTGGGGGTTACACAAAGCTGATTATAAACATTTAAATATGGATATTTTTCTTCCTAATACACACATCAATTTGATACAGGAGACCCTTATTCACCCTCAAAGCCATGTGATGAACTTTTTATCATGGATAGATGTGCTTTATTAAACTTATTTTAGTAATTACACCTTCCTTTGTTGAAAAGAAACACCCTATCTATTGCTACTATAGAGCTGGAAATGCAAAATATAATTATTTTAAATAACTTTGACTGGATTTGACAAAGAAGAAAGCCATATACACCTAAGATGCCTTGAGGATGCCTTGCTCATTTTAATTTTTGAGTGAACTAACCCTTTTGCAAAATAAAAATCATAATTTAGAAAAAAGCAAAAGACAAATTGGAAGGAACAATGAACAGCTTTGGAACAATATAACATCGATGGTGGGACAAAAAAAAATGACCTCAAGTTCTCCCTTCTCACCTCATCTGACTCTAGCAGGAACTCGATGAACTGACAGCCCACCACTGTTAACTGTCTGGCCTTGCTGTAGTCCAGCTCCAGACTGGCGTACAGCTTACTGCTAGGCTTGTAGAAGAAGAGCAGCCTTCGCACAAACCTGAAAAGTAGAGGAAGTGGTGGAACTGTGGTGAATGGTGGACCAAACGAAAAGCATTAAATATATATTCTAAGAACAGGAAACCAAATTCTGCATACTTGTGCATCTGTTCCTCTTTGTTGTTCCGAAGGTTGACATTTGGCCACTGTAGCATGAATAAAAATAACTCATTAAGAGACGCTACATTGAACAACTACATTTTTGCATTTGGGGAAATGCGAGCGATGCTTTATTGACATGCATCAAAGCTCCAGAGACATACCGTAGTCAACATTTGAAGTGGATCAAAACCTTGCATCAAAGTTTTCCTAACTGCATTCAACAAAACCCATTCTTGTCTTAGAACAATTTTGAAAAACTTTTTGGATCCACTTTTAATTTTGACTAGTGTATATGTCTGTTCAAAATATATATTTAAAAAAAATAAATACTTTTAATCGGCAAGGGTGCATTACTTGAAAAATCACAGTAAAAACTTTAAATGAATGAATGAAACTATCAAAGGACTCTAAAAAATATCCAGTTTCTACAAAATACTATTTTTTTTACATTTATCATTAAAAGAAAGATTTCTTAAACACTAAATCATCATATTGGGACGATTACTAAAAGACTGACAGTGAAAACTGGAGTAATAATGCAGAATATTCAAATTTGCCTACACAAGAATAAATGACATCAATAGCACATTTAAACAGATAATGATATTTAATGAAACTATATTTCACAACTGTTATTATATGAAATGTTTAAAAGGTAAAATGCAGCCTTGTTGATCACAAATGTCAAAAACTTGTTTAATAGGTAGTGTTCACCTTTAAAAATAACTTTATACAACAGAAAAAATAAGTATTGAACACGTCCCCATTTTTCTCAGAAAACATTTCTAAAAGTGCTGTTGACTTGAAATCTTCACAAGATGTTGGTAACAATCAAAGAAATCTATATATGCAAAGAAAACAGTTTATAAATTAAGTTATGCATAATAAAATTAAATGATGCAGCGAAAAAGTATTGAACGCATGAAGAAAAGGAGACATAGAAAGGCAGTGAAAGCCCAGACAGCAGCTGAAATCTCTCAGTAGTTCTTCAACAATCCGCCGCTTTTCGTCAGTGTAAATTAATATTAGCTGCTTTAGTCCAACATCTTTATTACCAGGATGATGAAGATGAAATCAGAGTGGACATTTCAGCAAGACAATGATTCAAAAAAACAGCAAAAGAAACTCTCAAATGCTTTCAGAGAAATAAAATCAAGCTGTAAAATGGCCCAGCCAATCACCTGACTTGAATCCAATAGAAAATACAAAATAAAGCTCAAATTTGATAGATGAGACCAACAGAACCATCATGATTTTACACTCTGATGAAGCAATTCGTGTGACTTCATTCTCAATAGGAGAAGTGTCTTTAAGCTGCCATCACCAAAAAATCATTTTATATATTGTATTATAATAAGTACATTTCAGTAGTTCAGTACTTTCTCGTTGTGTCAATTCATTATTACACATAACTCATTTTTAAAGATGTTTTTTTTGTTTTATGTTTGTATTGTTTAGGTTTTTACCAAAATCTGGTTCAATTCCATGTCAACAGCTCCTTTAGAAAATATTATTCCCAGGAAAAAACATGACATGTTTAATAATTTTTTCCCTCTGTATGTATATTGATATTATAATATAAGTATATTATAATTTTAAAATGCAATATTAAAAAATAGGAGTGTGACATCTGTTCCATCAACAATGGTGCTTAAACACTTTAAAAACACCACAATAAAAATAAAAAATTCTACCTTGAGTATGGTGCTGATTAGGACCCAGTTCCACTCCAAATTCTGTTTATGATTGAGAATCTGACTGTCTCTGAGGTTCATCATAAGGGCCTCCTCAGTGTCCTGAACAACACAACAATCATGTCAGAAATGACATCCATAAAAGCATTACTACAGTTAACAGCAACTACCTTAATGACAAAAATGTCCCTCTGAGGCCTGAGGTGCTGGTCCCGACAATAATGAGCAGCCAGAGATTTACGGACAATGAGGTCCAAGTAAAGACTATTGGGTTTGGGGCCTCGCTTCTTCTTCTCATGAAATCTCTTCAAGTAATTAACCGCAGCACTCGCCCGTCTACAAAACACAACCAAACACAAAGCTCCATCAAAATAAATAATCACTGGTCTCATACTCTGACACTGCGCTATTTGTGCTGCCGTCTATGTAGGGCAGGATGGCTAACTCACAGTCTTTTCCCCTGAGGAATGTCAAAGGAAGCAGCCATGTTCATTAGAGTGGGCAGGCAGTGCAGGTGGTGACTATGAGAATGAGGGAGAATGGTGTTGGCCTGAAAATAAAATAAAGGTAACTCAAGGTTATTTGGGATATACACTACATGAGTGTGCTGTATGAACAGTTGACCTCAGTTTAGTACTTTACCATATGCAGGAGTTCTCCTAAGAGGATAGTTGCACGAACTGAAACACTATCTTCACTGCTAGTGATCACTTCAACCAAGCCCTAAAAAAACAACAGCATCATCATTAGGGCTGCACAATATATCGTTTAAGCCTCAATATCGCAATGTGCATGTCCTCAACAGTCACATCGCAGGATGTGCAATGTTAAGTTTTAAATAAAACACGGTAAACTAAGGTGTCAGTTTGTTCGATACTTTTCTGTTCAGAATATCTTTAGATTTTTAAAAGAACATTTTTTTCAGCTAATGAGTGATATGAAACTTCACAGTCGATCATGATCAAGTTTCCTGTTCTTAGTTCTCAAAACTAAAGAATTTAACGCCCCAGGCTCATTGGAAATATCTGCCTCTGCATACATTTTTATAAATTGTAAAATATGTTGCTGCGAGTGTGTTATTATTATTTATTTATTGCCACATCAGCAACTTATGGCTATTTCATGGGAAAATGGATATACATAAAATATTACATGATAAGAACAAATTCATATTACAAAAAATAAAAAATACTTAGGAAAATAAATAAAATATAAAGAAATAAAATTCACACAAAAATATATTCAAAGTTAAATATGTTTTTCAGTTTAATTTTTGATAAATAATTGAAGATTCTTCCTGGCTGTACCTTTTTAAAAATGTCCATCAAAGTACTCCCCTTATAAAAATTTTGTCTAATTGTAATCAAACTTGCACATTCCAACAAAATATGTTTGGTAGTAAGAGCAGCTTGGCAGTAATTATATTTAGGTGGGTCTTGGTTATTGAGTAAATACAAACGAGTCAACCTAGAATGTCCAATTCGACATCTAGTATAGACAGTTTGATCATGCCTGGTCTCAAAATTATAATTTGCTAAGTGTCTTTCATTTATTTTTGGATTAATGTCATGCAATTTATTATTTATGCAGTAAGTTGACCCATTCCTTTTGCCACCTTTAGTTTACGTACAAATTAATTGTGGGTTTTAAGACCTCAGGAGGAATTCTCCGGGTATGTTTTATTGCACATTTCATGGTTGATGGATGTGTTTTGGAGCAGGGGGACTAAAACAAACATTTGACTGTACTTATTGGACTTAGGGCTTCTGGTTGTCTATTTTACACAATTTCTGAATAAAATTCCAAAATAATATTTGTATTTCAAAACGTTTTTTTTCTGTCATCAATGCAATTTTGATACGACATGATATAATAAAAGGCTCTGAATTATTTACCATAAAATTGCACTTTTTTTCCCCAGAAAATCGTTTGTGCTTAATGACACTTCAATCTGACTTTAAGTCACTTTTAAAAAATGGTATATTTACCTCTAAAAGTCCACTATGGATGAAGGCAGAAAGCAGCAATGCGAGATAGTTATCCATCAAATCAGGTCTATTTAGATAAAAACAAAACACACACACACACGTAAGACATTGAAGCTGCATGCATACAAGGCTGACCTTGATTTAAACCCAACCCTAGCCCAGTTTGACAGTTAATTAAGCCCAGTAAATGCTCGTACCTGGACCGCGCCCTATGTGGAAGTATTATTTTTGCTTCTGACGCTACAAAGCCATCTGACAGTCTCCAGCTGTCCTGAAACCTACTAGGGTCTGGAAAGGGCATTATTAGGACATTATTCAGTCAGTGTGAGCTGACTTCAAATGTGATCGATGTCTGAAATGAATATGTTAATCAGCGCAAGCAGACAGCAGTAACACTCACCCACACTGAGAAGAGCTTCAACAAAATCTTGTGTCACCACAGGAACAGGGAGCCTGAATATTTCATACATCACCTCCAGTAGTCCTCGCTAAGAAAAGAGATGAAGCAAATATGAAGCATCTCATAATGACTGATAACAATAATAATAAATGTACAAAATAATGAATAAAGAGCTAATAAAATAGTGGGCCTGTTGTTTTAATTAAAATTTCTACATCAGTATAATAATACTTATACAGGATATTGAATAGGGTATTTAATTAAATAATAATAACAAAAAAGAAAATCTTAGTATTACTTTGTTCAATTTTAAGAACTATTGTTTACAAAATTAGCAAGTTTCTTTCAAAGTGTACTTGCATTAAAATCAGCAAAATTCAATTCATGAATTTAATTTTGCATGTAGAATTTAGATCTATTTTTAAATGTACATAAACTGTAAACATTAATTATTCACATAACAAATAATACATTAAAAACACAATGTAAGCACCCTACCACAATGCACAATGCATTCATATTGTAATTATCAAAATGGTTTTAAAAATTGTTCTAAATTTAGGGATGCGTTCACACGAGCATTGTGATCATTTTAGTTTGTTTTTGACACATCTAGGACCTAAGGAACTATACCAAACTTTATTACATTTAAGTTGCCATATGTAATTTCCTAACTTATTTTTGTAATATGCTAAAAAAAATTAAAAACATTACTTTAAATCATATTAACTAATTGTGTATAAATATATATTTTTAGAACTTATTACAATAAAAACAAAAACAATGACATTTATAGCACAGGGGGGTTTAATGCTGTATACATTAGTCAAGCAGAATATGCTCTTTGCCTTCATTTGCACACTGATATCTCTGGATTTTGCTCTCAGGTGACAATATGTACATTTAAAAAAATCATCTATGTCATTTAATTGAAACATTTAATTTGCATTGTTTTTTTTACAGCTTAGCAACAAAACAAACTAACATTAAATTAGAAATAAGTCTCTAAACTATCCCTATCATTCTCCCTTTCTTCTCAGATGGGATGGTGGGTCAAATCAAAGGTTACCCACAGGCCTTAGTTTGGCCACCTCTGATCTTTGTAATGTTTCCTGTTTTTGGATCTTAAAACTTGAGAATTTTACAGCCCAGGCTCATTTACAATATCTGCCTGTTCATACATTTTTGTGAAATGTAAAATATGTCTCTCCGGGTATGTTTCGTTGTTTTAGAGGACAAATCCACTAGACGGCGTTTTGTATATTTTTCCGAATCTCAAGTTTCAGATACAAGGCTCTAAGTATATATCCATAAGAATGTAAGAGAAAAGTTCTCAGCGAACATTTAGTTTTACCTTGATTTTACATTGCTTTGATCTCTTTTGTGGTACCATGTTTCATCATTTACAAACCCAATCATTACTGAGTGCACCAGAAATCTTGTACATATGGAGTTAGACTAATAAGGCAAATATCTTTGATTACAAATTACAGAATCCTTTAGTCATCGATAATGTAAATGTCATTAGTGTGAAAAGGAACAAACACTGTATTTGTGTAGTGTTCATTTCACCTAGAAACTGCAATCAAACTTATGTTGAAGTAGGCTAAATCATGTATTTCAATGAGCCTGTGTTGGCATTTACAGTAGCAGACAAGTTACATCAAACAAAACATGACGCTAATATATTTATTACTAGTTTCCGTTCTTCTTTGTAAACAGGCCTTTTGTGTTGTTGCTCTTCAAATAAAGGGAACTGGTTTTATGATTTGCATGGTAAGCGTATAGAAAGCTTTCTAATTATATCTTTTATCGTACCCTCACTTCCATATTTGGTATACACAGCAGACCAATGAGAGACTGGATTCCAGAGTTGCCTGACTTGCAGAGATTAATGATGCCTGTTGATACAGAGAGAAAAAAACGACAGGTTCAGCCTGAGCAATAAACAAACTCTTGCTGCAATGAGGTGCGCTCATGAGGAAATTCCATTTAAAAGATGCATGATGCATTACAACACCTATTTCTGTATGAGCTGGCTTCTTTGATAATCATTTTAGATGCATAATAGTAAAATATGCATTGTTACGCAATCAACCTAAATAAAACATTGATTGGAATCTTGACCTACAAGAATTTGTTTTAAAAAAATGCAGCTTTCAACAGAATTTGAATAGTGCATAATGTTCAAATGTTTTTTTCTTTTAAAAATTTAAATACTGAGGCAATTACCTGACCAAGAGCGAAGGGATGCAACAATCGACATCTTACTGGCCAGAAATCGAGCCTCCCTGTCTTCTCTGTGAACAGAAACGCCATAAATCTACACATGCAGCCAATAAAAAGTTGCATGCTTGCCTTTCTGATGGTTAATTCTGTTATGAAAATCTTCAAAGCAACACTCACTTGAGCTGACCCTCTGCTGTGTCTGGATTGTGTCTGTAGTGGAAGTCTGTGTAAGGTGCCAGGATTTGCTGGAAAGGAAGTAAATGATTACTGAACTGTCTTACCAGGTTTACAGAGCATACATGTCACATAATAATAAAGACAAAACATTAAATCAAAAAGAAAGACAAACTAACAAAGCTAAATGAACAAGAAAACTAAATATTGGGAGACCATGCAACAGGCATAGCAGTGGATTCCAGAGGCAATCACAAATAAATGTCACTACACCTGCATTAGAAGTTACACTTGTTGGTCAGTATCCTGAGCATGTCCTATAATGTGGTCATATCATTGGCCTACGAACATTTCCTGCTTGTTATCACACTATTTCGTAACTGTAACAAGAGGCAATTCAATCATCTTTCAAACTTCATGTTCAACATAACATTATTTATAAATTTGTGGCTCTTTTTGGATTCTCTGAAACTATAGAAAATGAAAATGTAAAACAGGAAATATGTTGGGACCAGTGTTTTTGTTTACATCCCTCAAAATGGTCTATACTGTGTGTTTTGCTCCACACATTGTAACAGTCAACATTGCTTCACTCACCATAAAGCTTGAGGTGATATTAGAACACACAAAAACAACAAAACATTCAATAAAAATTAGACAACCATTCATATATGAGAATGTGTTTCTATGTGTTTCTATATTTAAAAACACAATATTCAAACTAATAAATCTTGGAAATGCAACCAGCTTGCTCTCGAGTCATCATAGATTGGCTTTTACTGTACACAGACATACACACAAAGACTCTGCTGCAGATTTGAAATGTGAAATTGTCAAGCAGTTTGAGAGATTTCGGGGAATTCCCCAATAACGAAGATAGGACATAGTTTTGGAAGCCAAAAAATGCTGCTGGAGGCAATGCAATTATGGTCGCAGAATGAAGAGCCTTTCTTGAATAGTAAGTGAAGGTAAATAATGATTTATAATCAAAATAAAATCTAAGCTTTTTTTGATGACAATATTAAGTATGCCATTTTTGGGATCATCTCACCCAATATTCTAAACCTCAAACCTCCTGAGCACCATTGAAAAACAGAGAAGTCCACTCAAATCTGCCAAATGCTTTCCAGAATGATCAATAGAGTGGCTACTGTAGCAAGCAGGCTGAGCCAGAGGGTGTTTAGTTGGTTTGGGATCATAGTTGATGTGTTACATCAGAAAAGACATGCAGTTGAAGTCAGAATTATTAAACTCCCTGAATTATTAGTCTCCCTGTTTATTTCTGTTTAACACAGAGAGTATTTTTTTCAACACATATCTAAACATAATAGTTTTAATAACTCATTTTTTATAACTGATTTACTTTTATTTTTGCCATGATGACAGTAAATAGTATTTGACTAGATAATTTTCAAGACACTTCTATACAGCTTAAAGTGACATTTAAAGGCTCAACTAGGTTTATTAGGTTAACTAGGCAGGTTCAGGTAATTAGGCAAGTTATTGTATAATGATGGTTTGTTCTGTAGACTATCGAAAAAAAATTAGCTTAAAGGGGCTAATAATATTAACCTTAAAATGGGTTTTAAATTTTTTTTTAACTGCTTTTATTCTAGCCGAAATAAAGCAAATAAGACTTTTTCCAGAAGAAAAAATATTATCAGACATACTGTGAAAATTTCCTTGCTCTGTTAAACATCAATTGGGAAATATAAAAAAAAAAACTATAATAATTCAAAGGTGGGCTAATAATTCTGATTTCAACTGTATATATTACAGAAGTGAAAGACAAAATTCCAGGTCTTCCCAACTTATTTACCAACGTAAGCCCTTAGGTTCAACTCATGGTGAGTATAGTGGGGGTTGTTTGAAAATATGCTTTATGTATGTAGGGGACACATACTTCACTTTAAAGGGGACCCATTATGTCCATTTATACAAGATGTAAAATAAGTTTCTGATGTCCCTAGAGTGTGTATGTAAAACCTGAGCTCAAAATCCCCCACAAATAATGTTTTATAACTCTTTAAAGCAGCTCCTTTTAGGCTTTGATCCTAATTGTGCCATTTTAGTGATTGTCGCTCTAAATTGTAATGAGATTGTGCTCTTTTCAAAAGAGGGGGGAGCTACACATGCCTATGTGTCAGCATAGTGGCAGATTCAAAACAAGACTAACATCCTATACTAATGAGTTAGATCATCACTAATGGGCGGAGCTTTCCCTCTCTGTGACATGTACAAAGAGAGAATATCAATTAAATAGTTTCTGCAGATTAACAGCAAAATTATAACTCCAAGGCATTCGAAAAAAAGTGAAAAAAAAAATCAAAATGCCTTTATTAACATGGCTAATTTAGCTGTTTATCTTTATGTATCGCTACACAAAGAGCACAGACACATTAATTGCCCCTGAAGCACTTTTGCAGATTGTTTTTATGATTTGCGATTATAAAAATAGAATTAATACATTTTTGCCATTACATGCTGGTTTTATTTACAGATTTTTATTACACAATTGTATTTAAATCCCTTAAAAAACTATTTTGCATAATAGGTCCCTTTTAAATAATCAAAAACGAAATAAAATAAATAATTTGTGATGGGATCATCATAGTTGAAGACAGATCCATACCTCTAACTCCACGTCAGAGCGAACATATTGCCGTGTATGTGGGTGGTTGAGGAGGTGCAGGATGGTGGTCATCAGAGCCTCATTGATGCGACTGAGCTGACAGTCGATTACATTCTTCAGGATGGTGCTGAGTCCACCACGCTTGGCCACAATCTCAGGGTTCTCAAGTGCTGTGTGACAAATGCAAACATTCATGAGTTCAATATCTGCATTTATAAACTAATAAAGTACAGAACATTCTCTGATCCATAAGTAAACTCACCAAGTTCACAGATAATGGCGATGCAGGCACGAACCATACGGTCCCGCTCCTGTGGTCCATCGTTGCCCACTGCAATGAGGGAGTTTGCAACAGAGCTTGGGAAGAGCAGGGCGTTCACAGTGATCATCTGGAAAATAAAGGCAAAACATTTATAATGACACTTCCATCCATGATAGAAAAACAACACTGCACTGATCATTCAAGTAATTAAAGGTGACTCATGCTCTGTTTTACAAGAACTTTACAAGCCTCAAGTCCCCTCAAAACAGTAATACTAAGTGGAAACATTCATTCATTCATTTTCCTTTGGCTTAGCCCCTTTATTCATCAGGGGTCACCACAGCGAAATGAACCGCCAACATATCCAGCATAAGTTTTACATAGCAGATGCCCTTCCAGCTGCAACTCAGTACTGGGGAAACATCCATACACAATAATTCACATACACTACAGCAAATTTGGTTTATTCAATTCACCTATAGCGCACGTCTTTGGACAATGGGGGAAACCAGAGCACCCGGAGGAAACCCACATGAACAAGGAATAAGTGGAAGCAAACTTTTACATTTAGTCATTTGGCAGATGCTTTTGGCCAAAGCAACTTACAACTGAGAAGACATTCAGCAGATCAACACAAAAAGGCAATACGAAAGTGCTAATTATGCAAAGGAACTGTTAGTGCTAAAAAAATTAAAAGCAATAGTTAGGGAGTGGTTATATTTTGAGAGGGGAGTGAAGTGTTTTTCTACATGTGGTTTGTCAAGCCCATTCACCTGTGTGATGCTCAATTAAATACATGTATTTGTGTGTACTGCAAATGTACAAAAACTGGTGCAGTGTCAGTTATATGAAAGAGTATGCTTTTTACAGATGGTTTGTAATGCCCGATCACCTATGTTTTTTTTTGGGGGGGGGGGGTAAGCGCAGTTTTAGGAGTGCCAGTCTCTTTAAATGCAAATGAGCTGCTATTCTCCACCCCTTTTACAGAAAAAAGCAGAGTCTTTGCAGCTTTTGTTTTAAACTGTCTCATTTTTTTGTCACACTCATGTAGAGAAATATGTAGCAATTCCTCATCACTGTACAGCGCAGTTTTAGGAGTGCCAGTCTCTTTAAATGCAAATGAGCTGCTATTCTCCACCCCTTTTACAGAAAAAAGCAGAGTCTTTGCAGCTTTTGTTTTAAACTGTCTCATTTTTTTGTCACACTCATGTAGAGAAATATGTAGCAATTCCTCATCACTGTTATCTACATCAATTTTAAAGACTGCTCACTTTAAATTTGTATTCTATTTAATTTTGTTACTATTATTAATTTTGGGAGGCCAGATTCCGTTTCATTTTTATTGGTCATTCTTTTGTTTAACAGACATTCGTTGACAAACAAAACAGAAAATTAAATAAAACTAAATAATTAAATTAAAATCTCAAAATATAAAGAAAAAAATTTGACAGATTATTCATTTGTTTCGTAAACAGAACTATATAAAATAAAAATGTGTATAATAATTAATAATAAATATTATATTACATATTAATTGTATTTTATAAAACAAAACAAAATTACCAAAACAAATTATTAAAGCAAATTTCATCACATCAAATCACTTTTATTGTGACAAAATCAGCAGTATGTGTGCTATGACGAGCAAAAAGCTTACGTGCTGGCTCCAAACAGTGCAAAATACAACGACACACTCCAAAACAAAACAATATACTATTTACAGTGTTGACAATAAATATGTGAAAGACAATAAATACATATGCAGACACAGATAGACAAGTACACAGACAAAAAGGAGTACACATATTTTGACTGTTGGTGTATACATCTTCACCTTAACATTTTTTATTATTCATCAGTTTCAACTAAACAGCAATACTTCACATCTCACCTTTCTCACCAGTCTGAGAGCCTGAGTGCGCTCCACCTCATTACTCTGCTGGATGTCAATGCACCTACAGGTCAAAAGATCACATTAGATAACATTACGCTAACCAGTCAACACAGCTAGTCAATGTAGTTTCTAAAATGATCCACAAAAAAGATTCAATCACATGTGTTCTACAGCCATTCTTATTTATTCATTTTCCAATTCAATGACCTGACTTGTTGTGTATGTTCAGACAGGACAAAAAAAAGAACCAAAGCTACATGGTTATCCACCTACAGCAGGATACAAAAAAGTAGCAAATCCTGCTCAAAATGCTTTAAAATAACCTTAACCAGACTTGACTAGCTCATCATATGAACAGCCCTTCTCTCACACACACATAGGATGAGACGCTAACAAGAGGTGATCCACAACTCGGCACACATTAGCATCAAATCAAGCTTCTGATGAAAACGCTTAGCTTCTAGCCCACAATTTCAAACTTAGACATGAATTTAACAGCTAAAATAGCTGACCCCCATTTAGTGCAATAAAACGTGTAACAGACCTGGAAATCAGGTAATCCACCTGGAGACGCAACACCTTCTGAAGGATATTACTGTCCCTGATGAGGTAGCGGAGAGAACGCAAGCCAGCCGCCCGAACCTCCTTAGCCTCATTGAGGAGAGCCAACCTGAGGCTGTGGAAATAACAACGCACTGCATTTAACATCATTCCCATCATATATTTACTGAGAATTAATGGTTTTATGCATTTATTTATTTTTTGGATCAGGATCATTTCAGAAGTGCATAATTAATCCATTTTTTTATTCACAGTAATGAAATCAAATCTAATGCTCTCTCATTACTCATCCACAGGAATATTTATTTATATTTAAATTACTTATTTATATTATATTTAAGTTTATATTTATTATAAAAATATTATTATTTAGGCTCATATTTTTACCACGATTCAAACATTTTTTAAAACACAGCAATTGAATAAATTTAAACACCACATGCAGAATTTCTCTGAATTTATGATTCATAGTCGTGTTTGAGGAAAACCTGAATTAGTTTTATTTTATAAACTTCCGATGAGAAAAATTTCAAATTAAATATATAAAGAAATATTTATCCAATTTATTTGGCATAAAATACAAATGTGCCATGTTTTTAGCCATGTTTATAATAATTTTTTGAAAACACAATTTTAAAGTTAAGAAATCAATATTTGGTATAAAACCCTGATTTTCTATTAAAAGAAATGATTATTTTTAGGGACAATAGGGCCAAAAAACTTTTTTTTCTGGGGGAGTAGATGCTAAATGACTATATCTTTATTCAAAATGTAGGAAAAATATTATCAGATATATCTGTGGAATATATATGTAAAAATATATGATTTTACTCAAACCCATAATGAATCTAACGAATAAATGAATCCAGAGAAACTCAGTGGATTTTTTATGTGGCCTCTTATTTTTTTCTCTCCATAGCTGGTTAAAAGTGGTTTTATGCTTCCCGAAGCTGCAATTATTACAGTAAAATCATCTATTTACTAATGCCTTATTACAATATTAAACAATTTTATATGTGAATATTAAACAGCTTTTCAGCAGCCATTACAGGCTTTAGTGTCACATGAATCCATTAGAGATCAATCTAATATGCTCACTTGTTGTTTAAGGAACATTATTAGTATAAATAATTAACATCTTAATAATATTACTGTTGAAAAAAAATTAATTTACTGTCGAAACAGTGATGTACAGTTAAAGTCAGAATTATTAGCCCCGTTTATTTCCCCCCCCCCAATTTTTTGTTTAACGAAGAGAAAAATTTCTCAACACATTTCTAAATACAATAGTTTTAATAACTCATTCCTTTTTTTTTGTTCTGTAGACTCAAATCGAAAAAATATAACTTAAAAGGGCTAATAATTTTGATATTACATTTTTTTTTTAAATTGTTTTTTTTTTAAATTGTTTTTTTAAATTGTTTTAAAAAAATTTAAAACTACTTTTATTCTAGCCGAAATAAAAGAAACAAGACTTTCTCGAGAAGAAAAATGTTATCAGACATACTGTGAAAAGTTCCTTGCTGTTAAACATATAGGGAAATATTTGAAAAAGAAAACAAAACTCTAAGGGGGCTAATAATTCTGACTTCAACTCAATGCACGACTCCATAATTATGGATCAATAGCCCAATAGAAGTATTACTTAAAACATTGCTTAGTTAACATTTTATAACACTGCTCATTTTAGAGGGTCAGAATACATTCAAACTTTTGGATTTGTAACATATATTTCCTTGTCTCGGACTCACCAAATGATAATTTCTTCATAGGTAAAGCCAAACTTTTCCTCAGAGTGCCCGACATTGCAGAGCAGCTGTAAAAGAGACATAACAAACACTTATTTATTTTACTTGGCTTCAAGAAGCAACATTGATGACTTTATTAGTACTTAGTGACATGTTGCTGAAGCACTGCAGGCTACTTCACAGCAAAAACACACTCATGCTTAAAGAATTTTCTTTTCCATCGGCAGGTGATTTACACAACTGAAAGCATGGTTGGCTTGATAAAACCTGTCGGACTCAGGTGCATTATCACATGTAGAAATCTGACAATGGTAATTAATCAACAGACGGATCATTGACATCAATAGAGATATCCAGCAAAGGTTATCAAACATGTGGGCCAAAAAAAAAAAAAATTGTTTTTGTGGTCAGAGACATCTGTAACAAGTCAACAAGAGGGAAAATAATGGATATAGTGCCAGGTTGAATGAAGAGCCTTTTTAAATTTACAATTTACATTAGTACCTGGATCAACACAATTGAAGCAAAATGAAGAATAATGATTGAATTGTTTAAAAAAAAAGAGAGAGATTAACACCCCATGATTCTGAATAGACAACTAAATAAAATAAAATGTATTTTACAACAGACTAGAACATCAGAAAAAAGATTAATTAGCACTTACTTTTAAAAAGAATTCATTTAACTGATTTAAAATGAAAAAAACGTTTGAATGATTCATTCTATGACGCATCTATATTGCTTCATCATTAGGTAGTCACTAACGTTATAAAAGGAACACTCCACTTTTTTTGGAAATAGGCTCATTTTACAAGTCCCCTAGAGGCAAACAGTTGAGTTTTACTTTTATATTTGAATTCATTAAGCTGATCTAAGGGTCTGGGTTTAGCACTTTCAGCTTAGCTTAGCATGAATCTTATTAGAACCTTAGCATCACACTCAAAAATATTAAAAAGGTTTGCTAACTTTACCAAAAAAGCTTGACTGTAGTTACATCATCTACAAATAGTGAATATGCTTTTTAATTCCTCTAGGTCTTAGTAGTACACAATGTATTAACTGAAGAATCATGCTTTAAAAATGAAAACGATCAAAACTCTTGGTCATTTTTTGAGCGAGATGCTAATTTTTATCTTCCTTGCACTGGCTGCCTGTTAGGTTTCATATTGATTATAAAATACTGCTTCTTATAAATAATCTGGCTCCCGTTTATCTAACGCAGTTTGTGTGTGTGTGTGTGTGTGTGTGTGTGTGTGTGTGTGTGTGTGTGTGTTGGGGGGGCAACATGCAAATATAAAGCCATGAGCCTTTGAATATTTTGGGACCCCTGGGGTGATTGTGACATTAAAGACACTGCACATCGATTTCATGGCACTAGGTTAAACTTTCTAACACCTTTAGGGCACCCACATAAATACATGCCACAACTGAACATGGAGGATGGTTTCCGAGTGGCGTTCTCAAAATTAAATGATGAATAAACTTGAGCCTACGGTTATGTGTGCATTATGTGGAAGGTTTATATATATTTATAACCATCTCAGAGGACATTGGGGGTCGCGAGTATCTGGCATTGTTATTTTTGGGGAACCCCTGATCTAACCAACCTTCTGTCTCACTAAAATTCAACCCGCTCTTTAAAGGGTCACGAAACACCAATACACATTTTTTTGGCTGTTGACAGTCGTATATGTGTCCCACGCTGCTAAAAACACTATTAGGACACATATATTACACAAAAAAGTGAAAACTGGTTGTTTTTGCGTTACTTCGAGCAAATTCGTTCTTCCGGTTTGAAACTAATTTTTGAAGCTGCGTCACACCGATTAGATACTTGTGTGTAATCCAGCATGTAGACTGGACGTCTCTACCTGGGAGTACATTGTGACGTCTCTGAGCATGTAGCATTAATTCATGAGTAAGACTTGGTTCAAACCAATCAGCGCGCTCTATTCTGTATGCGATGCAACTTCATTAATATGCATGATAGCTGCCTTCGAAGACTGTTTTTACCTGATACAGTTTTCAGACTGAAGAGAGACGCCACGTTGTGTTGCCAAAACAAGTGGAGTGGAAGAACAAGAACTGTTTGGAGACTCTGGTCGTTAATGTTTCCCTGCTATGAGAGCGCAGCTGGACTCACGTGTGGATTATAGTGCACGCGACACGCAGCAGAAATACGTTTGTACGGAACATTTTTTACCCGAGAGCTTTTCACATCTGAAAATGGTGAAATCCGTGTTTGCAGCTCGTCTCCTTTTAAAATGAAGCGGCTCCAGTTGGTGTTGATTGTCCTGTCTCTCTACAGATTTGGTAAGTAAGCAATCAGTGGTCTTTGTTTGTTTATTCAGATGGCAAAGTTAGTTCAATACATCAGCAGTACTCATTCAGTTTTTAAAGACAGACCTTAGTCAAAATGATTTCTAAGTTACTTAGTTTACAGTACGTTAATATCACTATAATATTATAGACTGAAAGATTGCTGTAAATGCTGCTCTCCGAGTGTAAACATGTAAATAGAGCAATCAAACTATTACCGTCGTGTTGAATTTGACGCATTTTGTGATAGGATAGTTTCTACACACACTGCTTTCTGACACTACAAACCGAGTACATCCAAGTTACAGAGAAATGCAGAGGGTTTTTTGTTCTCTTATACGACGTGCGGTACCAAACATTCCACAGTCACTGTCAGTCATTAAACACAGTCACGGTCTTTCTCCTCTGCGTCTGTGTGTTTGTTTTGTCTCTGTGAAAATCAGCACGTGCCCAAATGGAAACTCCCATTTTTATCCAAATCCTTCCCTTTTATCCTCCCCTAACACTCCCACCTAAACAGAGCTATACACACCCACTTTCCTGATTTTTTCCAAACTAGAGGTGTGAAAACACCCTGCTAAAACAAGGGGGTTTCATGGCCCTTTAAGATCTCAAAACTCAGGACTTCTGGTAGTTCGCAGAATAACAAAGTCCACTAAAGGAGGTCGAGCCTTTTCATATGTGGCTCCTAAAATCTAGAATAGCTTTCCTGATAATATCTGAGGCTCAGACACGCTCTCTCAGTTTAAAACAAGATTAAAGACCTATCTTTTTAGAAGAGCATATGCAATGACGCACACAATGCATGACGTAAAGGTAGGATGCATGAGTGTGCTTGATGTGCACATTTTGTAAAGATGCTTTGAAAGAATAATTGTTGTGAAAAGCGCAATACAAATAAACTTGAATTCGAATGGTCTAATCTGATTTAATGATTTCTAAGCTGAACTAAATGTGCTTCTGCCAGACCCATAGATCGGCTGAATGTTAAATTAGTCAATTCAGTTTCATTCATTCAATTTGGAATGACACAGAACAACTAGGTGCTTATTTCTGAATAAAAAAAACCTTTATCTCAGTACTTCTGTGGACAACATGGACGTCTGTAATGAAAATCATAATACTGTTCCTTCTCTATACACATCAACTGCTCTTACCAAGTCAAAAGATATGAATATCCTCTGTGATATAGTCATAAGAGAATAATAAAAAAAATCAATAAAACACTCAATTCTGCCTGGGTTTAGTCTGACTCGCTAAGGTCTGTCAGATCCTTTCATTTTAGGCCAGATTCTGTAAGTGAGGGGAAGAAAAGCCCTCAGGCCTCGACTGACAGAAGCCACAAAGAACTCTGTTTACTCCGTTTTACCAAACACCAGTAAGTATTCACATGCAGAGCTCCTGCGTTGTAATAATAAACAGATGTATCAGATTGGACAAACTGCTGTGCTTAAGAACTTTGTTCTTATATATAGAAAATCAGGAAAATCTTTGTCATTTATATAAATTAAGATAGTAAAATAAAGTCAACTGTAACATATTATTTTCCAAAATCATACATACAATTCATATAAATTATCAGATTTGCATAAAGCTGGTTAGCAGCAGACTATAGATTGTCATTGAGTGTAATGGTGGACGACAAAGTATTGAGTTGCCATATTATCAGTTTCTGAATTTTTTTTTATATTGATTTTAATCCATTACAATCTGTGCCATTTATCTGACAATTTTTTTTTGAGTGGCCACATTTCTTCTAAACTATAGCAGTGATAATCTGAGAAATGTTGATGAAAAAAAATATATATATTATGTGTGTGTGTGTGTGTATACATATATATATATATGTATATATATATATGTATATATATATATATATATATATATATATATATATATATATATATATATATATATATATATATATATATATATATATATATATATATATATATATATTATACACAGTTCTGTATGGTTCTCGAATCTGATTGGCTGATAGCCCTGGGATATTCTGTAATATCAGCACTCCTTCAGCCTCTTCACCCTTGTGTAATACTACGCTCATGTAGAGTGCCAAGCGGAAAACAAAATTGTCTACTTTATTCCATACTTTACAGCTGTTGGACAATATAATGTATATTTGAGGCATTTTTAGACGAGAATATACTAGTTTACTGTAGATAGAAACTATGCAGTTTATTTGTAAAGACACTGCCTATTTAAAAATGTTTTGCACGTCAGCGGCATTAATCTGTCATATTGAACAGAGCAAAGAAATTGACGCTTGACGTTCCGCCACAAGTTGATGACAAAGACCGCATAATAAGTCCTTAGGGAAAGAAACACTCAGTGTTTTCTCAGCGTCAGTTTCAAACTACAGCTGAACAAATCATTATAAAACAGGTAAGTGACATTCTAAGTTTCTAAGTAATCTATTAGTGTTTGCTTTGCTTTTTAATTGTAATTTGTTTATATACAATTATGCCGTTGAACTGTTGCATAAACGAAATATCACACAAGTAGCAGTGCAATATGGCTATATATCAGCACTGCTAGGGCACTAAGGCACTCGGTCTGCGATCTTGAGCCAATGCATATATGCTGTATATCCCATTCTGCAACTCCTGACCAACTTTTGAGTTAACAAACCTTGATAAAGTTGTTAAGATGGCCGAGTTTCCGCATGTTGGAGACTCCTTGTTGTTTGGCCACATTCTGCAGGATCTCTCGCATGTTCTCGGAGGGCTCTGGAAGAAAACAGGAGGACAAATGAAGCAAGAGCTGCGAGTTGTGAAGTCATCAAAAAGACATTATGTTTGGTCTAGAACCACAAGATATTAGTGACCAAAACATTTCCACTGTTGGTGTGACAAAACCACAAGAAGCAGAGATCAATTTTCACGATTGAATAAATAAAGAGAACAGTTACATTAGAAAGCACACAAAAGCTATTTAGATTTAGTGCGTTTCCTAAACACGATGTAACTTCCTGTCATCTCAGAAAATCGATCTCATAAATAACACCCTCTGCTGAGTTTTATTGCAGCATGCATCAGGAACCAATGATAAATCTCTACCACACTGCAACAGTGAATCATCAAAGCTGACATCTCAACTTAAATTACACACACTATGAAGTTACATTTTAGATTTTATTTATACATAAACATTTGTTATACATGTTTTTTCTGAAATAGAAAGAGAGAGTTTTGAGTTTGTTTGTTTAGACTTTATTAATCCCAAAGGGAAATTCACATTACAGCTGAGCTTTCCATACTATAAAATAGGCAATATTATTAATAAAATGACATTCATACTGCACACCTTAGTTTCAAACAACGAGTAGACACTAGTCTATATCTACAGCATTAATGCACTTACAATTCAGCATAATTCATCTTGTATGACTTTGGTAATACAATCTGATCACTGTTGGTAAAAATCTTTATTGCCAATTCCATATCAGTTTCTCTGACTATCCTTTACATTTTATAAAAATCATGTCACTATAAATTATATATATAAATATAACAATATCCGAAAGCAATAAATAATACACAATATAAAATACATAAATAATACTCATAATAACACTACTTTTTAGGGTTTATTTTTGATAAAAATTCTTACAATTTTGGAAGGATTTTTATTAAAAAATATTTCATTTTAAGTCTCTCCAAATAAAAATCGTTTGTTGATAAAATAAAAATAGGGAATTCCACAAGTATGTTTAAGAGTTCTGTTTCTGTTGGAAAATTTTGTTCTGAAATAAGATACTAAGAGATATTTAGTGTAAAGGATGACACTGTGGGGAACGGTTAGGTTACCACACCATAAAAAGTAGAAATAATCAAATATTTATGAGCAATAAACTCACTTTACTGCAGGAACACACAGTTCACACAGTTCAAATGACTATGAGGTTTTTAATGATTATTTGTTCGATATGTTGGCAGGAGGTATTTGAAATATTTAGGCAAACATGTATATAAAATCACTTTAGCAATGCCAATTGAATTTAATGTCTCATCTTCAACCCATATCAGAGTTTCTGCAAGTTTTACAAACTTAATAAACAATCTGAAGGTAAAAAAATGTCTTTACTTATTCTCTAAATGTAAATTCATCATAAAGAGTTTATTTATTTGTAAAACTAATAATCTCCACCTCCATTTTTATTCGTTCTTTTTTCCTTTGGCTTAGTCCCTTATTTATCTGAGGTCTCCACAGTGGAATGAACCACCAACTATTCTGGCATATGTTTTAAGCAGCGGATAGCCTTCCAGCTGCAACCCAGTACTGGGAACCACCCATATACTCTCCCATTCACACACACACAGAATATGGCCAATTGTGTTTACCCAATTCACCTGTATAGCACATGTCTTTAGACTGTGGGGGAAACTGGAGCACCTAAAGGAAACCCAAGCGAGCACGGGGAAACATGCAAACTCCACACAAAATGGAAAACTGGCCCAGCCGGGAGTCGAACCAGTGACCTTTTTGCTGTAAGGCAACTGTGCCAACCACTGAGCCACTGTGCTCACCTCTATTTTATAAAAACCAAAAAGAAAAGCTAAAGGTTTGAATAACTTTGCTATAAAACACTAGAATACAGTATTTATTTTTTTAACTGTATCTCCTGATCACATCGTAAAAAAGTTATGAGCTGTGTTTCCTCAGTTATTTTGAGCTGTTTTCATCACGAGTGCCTTAACATAGTACAAACTTTAAGCTTTTAAAATAAATGCATCTTTTAGAAAATAAAAATGCTGACTTATTTTTACAGAGTATGTAACATTTAATGCCATGACTTTATGAATACAAGCTTTGATTTGAGGTATACATCTTAAATTGCAGATTTAAAGCCAATCTGTGGAAATGTCAAGCTCAGATATTAATTATCACACCAAATATTCATTTCCTCCTGTTTATTAGTCTTATATCAGTAAAGTAGTTTAACAACAAATCGATCATTAGTATTTGTTACTGAGTGAAACTGGTCCACATAAAACACAGGCATTCAAAGACACTACAAACACAGCCCTCTGTGTGACTTATTTCCCCCAACAGTCACACAGGATACATGTTCAGTCATCTGTACCAAACCGAAAACAAATCGCCAACTATTCCTCAGGCAGACTTGCTGTTACCCTCATACTAGGCTAAAAGCAGTGAAGCCTAAATACAGGTACTCTGTCATTCAAAGTTCAAATGATTTTTACTGTAAGTAAAATTGTAAACTTAATTTAATTACTTAATTCAAGAAAAGACATTTTAATATTCAATGCTAAAAAATGGATTTGACTTCAAATAAATGCGGTTCTTTTGGACTTTCTGTGGTCCAAGGATTCTTACACTTCAACATTAATAAACAAAAGGAAATTTGAGCACCAAAATATCATATTAGAATGATTCCTGAAGGATTGAGTGACACTGAAAACTTTGTGAAAACACTAAACTCCATTTTAAATAATGAAGTAATTTATTTTAAATTGTAGTAATATTTCACATAATGTATTAACTGTATTTTTGATTAAATAAACGTTGCTCTGGGGAGAAGACAAATTAATAGAATTTATTTAAATAATTTCTATTAATAGAAATTAATAAAATCAAAACTTAGACTAACAATGCTGGAAGTGAGCATTACCTGTTACAAATGAACAAACAAACAAATATAAAACTGAATCAAGTTACAAGGTCTAGCAACTTTAGCACTAACAACTCTAGAAGTGAGGGTTTTATCCAGAAAAGGCAGTCAACAGCAGAGGTCATGTGAGAAAAACAGCCCCAAGGTTAACCAATCAGCAAAGACTGCATACAATGCACACAAGCCGACAACAGCTAATGAGATCATTTCCATCTCATGCATTACCCAAGTTGTAATTCTCTTCACAATAAATATAAACAATTACTTCCTCTAAAACAATAATGTTTCAAAATAAATATAAACAAGTACTTTCTTTAAATAATGTTTCACCCTGTCTATTACAACTGAAACCAAACAACTGCACTTTCAAGAGCAAAGTGAATAAAACAAAATAAAAACATTAAAAGAACTCTTAAATGTTTTTTATGAAATCTTGAATTCCTGCTGTTCATATAACTATTTTGCATAGAGCCAACACTTCGCATTTGTCTTAATAGTAAATAAACTCATTAGTACACAAGGGGTAAACAAATCAATACACACTATACACACTGAACTCTGATTTCATCAATTGAATTGTAGATTTGTCCTATTTAGCTTTACAGTGAGAACCCAGAAGTCAGTGGTTTTCAACTTTTTTTTTTCAGAAAACTCAAATTTTAACATTTAAAATACTAAACAACCCCTCAAGACAATATTTTTTAATTAGTAGTCTTTAGTCAGATTTTTAATAATTGCAACAGTTGTGTAAAGATTAAAATTACAATAAATAATAATGCATGATTTTATGCACAATGTTTATGTTTTATATATTTGCTATATGATGCTTAAAGATTAGTATAGTCTGAATAAAAACTGTAGACAGTCTGAATGAAAATCTAAAAAAATTAGCATAACAAACCCTACAATACATGATGTGCCTTTATCAGACTGCTGTTAACTTTGCAGAACTTATGCTTTTTTATTTTAGTTTTTTTTATTGCTGTCATTAAGCTATGAATAATTCAGATGCAGAAACCTCTAAATGCAGTCTGACATTTTCTACTAAAATGAGAGTTTTATTCAGCCTCCTATGTTTATTTTCTGTTATTTCTCTTTAAAAGCAATGAATAGAACTTATTTGTCTCTATAAAAGTAAAATTACTCTACAAAAAATTTGTCTACACACAGTAGGCTGAGAAAAATGCTAATTTAAGAAAAATATATGTAAAATGGTATTTAGAGGTTTTTGCATCTAAACTCTTCAATTATTATAACTGTAATGTGAATGTTGTAATGTTTGCTTTATTCCTACTTGTAGCCCTCATATTAGATTGACTTTTACAACCCCTCATAAATATTTTGCGACCCCTACTGGGGGTCGTGACCCCCAGGTTGGGAACCACTGTTTTAAGTGTCTATAACAGGGATGACTGAATACTAAATAGACAGACCAACAACTTGATATGCTGATGAACCTAAATGCTTAATGAAAGAGTTTGATCAGTCATAACAATGCAGAACTGTTTCTAAATCAATTAATTCACTAGTTTGTCACAAATAAATTAGCAGCTTAGATAACTGCTCCTTAAATAAACAATTAGTGCAACAACTAACAATAAGCACTGCATTTTAACCCATACGTGTGTGTTGGCTCAAAGACCAAACTGAGTTTCAAGTACCAAAACCATAACATCATCATACGGATGTCATTTTTGTTGCATACATTAGAATGTGTCAAGCTTCGTTTTTTTGATCTGACAAAAACAAAACTAAATAAGAAAGCCACTAAAATGTCACTGCAATAGTTTATATATAAATACCTATCATATAATTGAATATAATTAATTGATGACATTTTAAAATTATTAATTATTTGGTTATTGTGAATAAATAATTATGGCCGCTTATTCCTTAATTAGCTTTTTTTTTCACTTTAGTTCAGAAATATATATCTTACTATGAATGACAATCTAACATTATTTCACTATACTTTATATTCATTATATTCATATATTCATATTTCACTATTCATTATACTTTGACATTTTATTTTCATATATAAATATAACAGCTTCTGTCATTTTACTTTGATACAGGCAAAGGCCAAAAAGCGGTGATTTAATCTTACTTCAAAGACAAATGTTCATTACTATTGCTTGTTTGCTCAGGCTCATTACGGATATGACTTTAACAATACAATTTAAATATTAAAGGCTACAATATAACCAAGAACAGTTCTCTTTGTTACTTCATGTTCTTTAGTTAGTTAACATAAAGTGCTAGTAAATTACTTCAGCAAAATCCTTGCAATTAGAAAGTCAAGAGCTGACATATGACTACTAATAAATTAAACGCTACAATATAAAAGTGAGTTCTGCATGCTGTCTTGCTGCAACACACTGTTGTTTTGGTCACTACACCCTTTGGACTCTACAGTCCTGCAAAACTATACACGAATAACAATTGCACACACTATGCAACCGTGATAATCAAAAACAGCATCTGTTAAATCGAACACAATATGTTTTCCTCTCTATTAAGGCATTTTATAGTTATATAAAGATCATATTATGTATATGGATACATGTCACGTATGTTGTTGTGTAAGGCTGGGTCTCAAAACCGACTGAAGCAAGCGTTTTTGGGCATCATTGGCGGGTTTGGGAGGCATAACGGTAGCATTACTAACAAGCCCGTGATGCCCAAAAATGTTGTGTAGGTAGGGAGTTCACTAGGTTCATCTGACTTACCTCTTGTGAGATCGAGCGGTACATTTTCCTCCCCACTGTCATTCCGACCTGTTTATGTAAGACAAAATAAGACACTGAGAAAATGACGCTTCGTGCAGGTGTAGCTGAAAAAGGCTACATTATTTTATCCTGACGGATGTGTTAAAAGGCCGCGCAGAGTCATTTTAATCTCACCTCGCATCCGTATACTTCGGATAGGACGGCCTCGGATGCTGACCGCCATCTTTACCAGACACATTCACAACACCGGAAACCTCGAGGACTGTCGCGAGACCTCGAGCAGAACAGACTGTTGTGTCTGCAGCTCTTCATGGGTGTCTGACTGGAGCGTAAATAAAACTCCAAATGGAAATAATTTGGTAAAATCGATACAATGTCCATACTGATAGGTAAAATGTATTAATTAATTAATGAAAAAGTGCAAACCTTTGCATCTTGATGTTTTTGAATTCATTTGGATTTTTTATTTTGCTGGTGAGGTTTGATCTTATAACACCAGGCACCATAGTGCACTGTAAAACCCAACAGTCAACTTTATTAAATGAAATGAGTGTAGTTAACTTAAAATTTACTGAGAGTTAATTCTACTCATTTGAAAAGAATTTTGAACTCGGTGTTAAATGTGTTAATTAAATACCATTACTTCAACTTAAATGGAGTAAGTTCACAGTACTCAGTTTTTTTTACTCAAATTATTTGTAGCAAGTTTCCTCAAATGGTTTGAGTTACACTAACTTACGGGGTTTTACAGTGTGGTTATTATTCTAATTTTAATACACAATGTGCATGCAATACACACAGAATTATAACTGAATGATACATTTGGTATGTTTATCATTGTTGTAACACTTCCAATAATGTAATGACAGTGTATCATGTGAAAAAAGAGGCCCACAGGCCCATTGAAAGCCTGGTAAAAAGGGGTGGTCCTTTTTTTTTCAAAAGTGAACCTTTTTGCAGTTATTCACCTTATTTTCTATTTAATAATGAGGTTAAAATAGGTTGGATTTTGGTGACATTTTGCAGGATCAGCTTGTCAGATGGTCATCATAACCATGTTTTGATGTAACAAAACATTTCCTAAAGAGTTCGAAAGAAGAAACATGAGAACATTACTTATTTTTCAAATGCACACTTATTACATCATATATATAATAACAAAGAAAACAGGAATCAGTTAAAGTTTTTAATTAAAAGCTAACCTATTGTCAAATGTGGCTAACGCATTTAGCTTTCCTCGGTCACTCTGAAGCGACAGCCAAGATTCCTCTTGGTGTTATAGCCTTAAGGGTTATTTTCACAATTTATTATGGCATAGCAGTCAAAATAGGACAAATGACTAATTCTACAGGAACTGTCATAAACTATTATCCTATATTGGACTGTTGAAATGTTATTTAAGTCGTATGATAACATCTTTTCAAAGCAATATTAGCAAAGCAATATTACACATTTATTAGTCAAAAGAGCTTAAAGATACAATAAGACATTTTTTCATTCATTTGCTTTTTGGCTTAGTGCCTTTATTAATCAGTGGTCGCCAAAGCGTAATGAACCTCCATCTTATCCCGCATATGTTTTACACAGCGGATGCCCTTCCACCTGCAACCCATCACTGCAAAACACCCGACACATTCTCATTCACACTCATACACTACGGACAATTTAGCTTACCCAATTCACCTGTACAGGTACTTTGGACTTGTAGGGGAAACCGGAGCACCCGGAGGAAACCCACGCGAACACTGGGAAAACATGCAAACTCCACAGAGAAATGCCAACTGACCCAGCCGAGGCTCAAGCCAGCGACCTTGCTGTGAGGTGAGAGCACTACCCACTGCGCCACGTGCTGCCTCATGAAAAATATCTGGGTTTTTTTAAATATTGGTACAATTATATTTAGGTATATAAACACACAGTGATAAATGGGTTCATTATTAGGCCTGCTTTTTGTACAGAAAATAGCAGACTGAAGCTAGCTGTATTTTACCACCTTTTTATTTTGGATTGTGTGCATTTAGAAATTTGTAAAATGGATAATGACCTGTTAAATGCACATTAAACTACCAAGGTCTGTGATATTAGACACAAAAGCATTAACATAACAACAAAATCAAGATTTTTAACATCCTGCATAAATCTTACCATTTCTGTATGTTACAAAATCTTGGAGAACAGTGAACAAACCTACAGAAAAACGCCTGCAGGATTGTTACTTTCCTGCTGGATCCCCACACATAGAGCCCAAATCATCAAAATCGTAGGATTCCTGCAGGATTTTTTGCAGGCCCGGCGCTATGGTTTTTTTTTTTATAAAGGATTGTTCACTCAAACTGAAAATTATTTCTGTCATTAATTATTAACACCCCCGTGGTTCCAACTTTCAGAACACACATTTCAATATTTTAAAATATATGACATAGCAATTGAATTATGAGAATGGCTATATCATGATGAACAGTGCTTTATAATAACAATAATAATTCCTTACATTTCTATAGCACTTTCCTTGCCACTCAAAGCGCTTTACACATAGGGGGAATCTTCTCTTCTACTTTTTAATTTTTTTTTATGCAAGAAAGAACATTACAAAGATATAATATGAACAAAGAGACAAAGAGGGTTACATAAATAGAATTCCAGCAAATTAAACAAGTTTAAAAGATTTACACCAAGAAAGCGTTTTAAATGCAGTGTAATTGTTAGAGTCTTTTAAAGAGTTCACGTAAATTTTAAAGTCCTTTCTGAAAATAAAAAAGTAAGGGTGTTTCTTTGAAAATGTACATTTATGGATGTAAAATTTTGTTTAAAAAAAGCAATAAATCAATAATAAATTTACAATGAGAAGGATCTACACTCAGAGAGTAACCAAAGAATACAATTTTTGGGGAAATACGGAAGTTTGGAAATAAGAATTTTTTAATGAAATTGGAAACGTCAACCCAAAACACTTTACAGTACACTGAAAAAATGCTTTTCTTGCTTAGATTTTATTGTCTTGTTTCTAGTCTAAATATCTAAAAAAATTTATATCAAGAAGCATTTTCTAGACAAGCAAAACATATTGTCTTGTTTTGAGAAATAAAATGCCAATATTAAGTGAGTTTTTCCTTAAAACAAGCAAAATAATCTGCCAATGGGGTAAGCAAATTAATCTTGTTTTTAAGATTGATTTGCTTACCCCATTGGCAGATTATTTTGCTTGTTTTAAGGAAAAACTCACCTAATTTTGGCATTTTATTTCTGAAAACAAGACTATATGTTTTTCTTGTCTAGATAATGCTTCTTGATTTAGGAATTTTAAGATATTTGGACTAGAAACAAGACAAAAAATCTAAGTAGGAAATACTGATGATATACAGTATGTCTGACATGTCATTATCAGCAATGAGGGGACGGCGGCAGCGCAACGAGGCTGAATCCAGCTTCTTATTCGCAGCTTCTTATTGACGCTATGCGGTCCACCTTAAAAACCGCGACGCTTCCGTTTTTCAGCTTCTTATTCGCGCTCATCTCAGGGACCGTGTTTATTTATGTTCCTTTCTGAAAAATGAAAAATGCTAAATGAAACTGATATAAGATAGAAAACGGGCTGCAAGCATGAAATCTAATTGCATCATTGATTAATTATTGACAGTGCCATCGTTTGAGTACAATATATTTCTGTTTTTTTTTTCAGAAATAGTCCTTTATGAAGACTTCACATGACCCACCTATGAATAGACAGTGCCTGCCTCAGCAAGGATTTTAGATACAAAATAATTGTTTTATTAATTCAAGTTGTAAAAGTTAATGCATATGTTTTATCTGCAAATACTACAATTTGTATTAGATTTCAGTAGCTTTTTCTGACACCCACGCCTGTAAATACAATTCAAGTTTTGTTAAACCTATTGTTTCAATGAACAGACAATGCACTTCTTATACACCTTTTTATACACCTTTTACAAATAAATGTGAATTGAACTGAATGAGCTATTGCATAATTGAATACTGTACCATGTTCTCTCTAATATTACACAACAGGTTAATAGTATACGTCTATACACGCGTCTGCATATGTATAAATATTTATAATTCTATCCCATTGAGAAGACAGACCTAAAAACGGTCAAAATACAGTCATTTCAATAAATGCCCAGTTGGAGGTGCTATATGCCAAGTTTTTTGCATATTCATTTAATGTTTTATTTTTAACTTTTATGTATTTGTGTGCCTACTACATACTATGTATGTGTGTACTATAAACTATGTGTGTGTGTGTGTGTGTGTGTGTGTGTGTGTGTGTGTTCACATTAAAAATGTTTAACACTAAAGATAATAAAAGTATGTTTGTGTTATAAATTTACACAAAATAAAGATGCCAATACATAATCATTTAATAATAATGATTTATTATAATTATTATTAATAATATTAATAATTATTATTATTATTATAAATTTTTATTATTAGTAGTAATAGTAGTAGTGAAATAAAAATATTTTACAATGCACTTATACATATTGTACTAAAATAAATGCCAATTAATCTATATACCTTATAAAAATTTATTAATATGTACCTATTTATAAATATGTATGTAAAATATGTCTCTCTCTCTCTCTATATATATATATATATATATATATATATATTCATACACAGTACACAATACATTTTCCTGTGTCTGTGTTTATTTAAGTGTATGTATATGTATTCATTCATTTTCTTTTCGGCTTGTTCCCTTTATTAAACTTTGGTCGCCCCAGCGGAATGACCGCCAACTTCTCCAGGACATGGTTTATGCAGCGGATGCCCTTCCAGCTGCAACCCATCTCTGGGAAACATCCACAGTCGTACACTATGGACAATTTAGCCTTCCCAATTTAACTGTACTGCATGTCTTTGGACTGTGGGGGAAACCGAGCACCCAGAGGAAACCCACGTGAAAGCGGGGAGAACATGCAAAAACAGAAAGGCCAACTGACCAAGTCAAGGCTCGAACCAGCAACCTTCTTGCTGTGATGCGACAGTGCTACCCACTGCGCCACCATGTCGGCCCTGTGTATATATATATATATACAAATTAACTATATACCTATACAAATTTACATAAATTTAACAGTACTAATACTACTAATATTAATATAAATGATAAAAATAAAAAATATTAATAATATTATTATTAATTCTATTATTATTATTATTAAGCTTATTGTTGGTATTTTATTTAAAAAATTACAAGAAGCTTATACATATTGTACTTGTCTATCACAACACCAGAAAT